TTTTACTCTATGTTGGACTCTCATTTTGTTCATTAAAGGACATTTTTTAAAGAAAATAAATTTTTTTTTATGAAATTTACGATTGTTGATTCTCATCTTTAAAAACAAGATGGATTAAAACGCATCAAATAATCACTTTTATTCGAAGCGATGCGTTAAAACCTGTTTATATAAGAAGCGACTAGTTTTAACGGGTTAACTATTTGGAGTCATGATAGTGATGGGTTATAATGCGTTTTTTTCGGGATTTTTCTATGTAAACGCGTTGAAACACCGTTTTAGCATGCTTCTGACTGCATGGGGAGAGAAGCATTCAATTTCGCACATAGAAAATAGGAAAATGTCTTACCAATAGCATTTTCATTACTGATTATCACTAAAAAATATTAAATAATATCATTGATCAAATGAATTCATAATATTTTCAAGTTTTTCAATTATTTGGTCTTTGAGAAAGTGAAAGTTTCGTTGGAATCATGTTTAATAGTATAGCCGTTTGGAAATTAAATTAAAAGGAACACCCACATCTACTTGTATTCATGTGAAGAACTTACTTCTAACTAATGTTGTATCTCAAATAAAGAAATAGTATATATTTAGGTACTTAACTTAGAATCAAATTATTTCAGAATCATTTTCAACAATAACTCGCTATTTTTTTCATTAAATCAAGATATCATAATTAGATTCTTGTTAACAGTCTAATCGTGTTTGTATTGGAAAAAAACGTGTAAATTTAAACTAGAAGATAGCCATTGAAATGAAAACCAAGTTAGTTCTAAATACAACACGATTCCTTTTACTTTAGATAGTTATCGTGATGGTTTCTGACGCGGTCGTTGTGGTGTCTTAGGTGGTCGTTGTCGTTGTCGTTGTCGTTGTCGTAGTAGTTGCTGTAGTAGTCGTCGAAGTCGTGGTGGTGGTCACTGTTATTGTTGTTGTTGTGGTCGTTGTAGTAGCCGTTGTCGTGGTCGTTGTCGTAGCCGTTGTCGTGGTCCTTGTCGAAGTCGTTGGCGTGGTCCTTGTCGAAGTCGTCGGGGTGCTCGTTGATGTCGTTGATGTCGTCGTAGTTGTTGTGGCGGTGGTCGCGGTCGGTGTTGTCGTCGTAGTACTTGTTGTTGTCGCTAGAGAAATCGATATAGAATTAATTTATATATTGATGTCTTAGTTGATATCAAATATGCAACAATATAGGTAATAACGAATTATTGCTAGCATTATCAAAATATCTACAAATCTGTCATTGTGAGATAAAGACAAATAGCGACTGTTTTTTTTCATATCTAGAAAATCTTCTAACTATATCATAGTTTTGTTTTAGATATCATTTTTAGTCAGAACTTTGACTGATATTACCTTTTTTCGTAGTACTAATCATCACACTTAGCAATGCAATAAGTGCAACTAAGCAAACAGCAACTAATATACCACCAATGATTAATAACCATCTTTTATAATATTTCCACTTATTCACCTCAGTGCTCTGTTTCGTAGATGACTCCTGTATTGATGAATTTGACTTCTTTTCTCGTTGACTGAAATTTGATACTTGAGATCTTCGTCCCAATGGTGAATATGACATAGGATTAGGAGAATGATTTATATCAGCAAAGTGCAATGATGGAGATGGGGCTAAACTGTGACTCCTGTATGGAATAGGAGAAATACCCGATATTTGTGAAATATCTCTTGGAATTGTTTTCTTCGGAACATAGAATGCTTTAATGGGTCGTTTGCTTGGCATTTTCACGTGATCAACAAATAAAAATTTGTACAAAATATATCCGTATTTATACTTTTCTGTCTAACACTTATAAGATTTTATTTTCGTTTTTTTTAGTAAAATAAAGAATAATAACAGAAATGTTGTTATACTGTGAAATGATATTTTACCGACGACCTACAATAGTTACTTCATGTGGTGTACATTCTCGACAAGTAAAAAACAACAAGTATTCTATTGAATACATACTTAAACGAGAAAAATATCTTCGGTAAGTTTGTTTGTAAGTGTTCTATAAGCAAAAGTCGATGTTTATCAACTTCCAATGTATGTTAAATAAACAATCAGTGAGTTATATGTGTTATTTGTTGAGTGAGAGTTTGGCAATTGCATAAGTTACCAACTGATTTCTCAAAGAGATATGAGTTTACGGATACAATAATAAACTGAGATATAAGCAATCCATTGACTACTTATGAAATATTTGACAAATTAGAAAATGTCACTACCCAGACAGACAAGACCCTCAAAAAAACGCGTAACAACGCGTTTTTTATCCGCTAAAACGCTGTTTCTACGCATCCCGAAAAAGAAAACGCCGTTTTGACGCACTTCTCATCTGTTTTTCAGCGTACATTTATCTACGACTTTTTTTCCATTAAAAAAATCTTTGTTAACTAGCGTTGATTCAGTTCCTTTTACGTTGATAAACGAATTCAATTATGAACACATTTTATTGAGTTAAAAAATATATCGTTTTTCGACGTAATTCAAAGGAATTCTACTCGTATTAACCGGTTCAATTATGCACACGTTTTATTGAGTTAGAAAATATTTCGTTTTTTCATATGATTCAATGAAATTAAATTCGTAATTACCCGTTCAATCATGCACACGTTTTTATGAGTTAAAAACTTGTTCGTTTTTTTATGTGATTCAAACAAAATAAATTCGTAATTACCCGTTCAATTATGAACATGTTTTTATGAGCTACAAAACATTTCGTTTTTCCATGTAATTCAAATAAATTTAACTCGTATGAACCCGTTAAATTATGAACACGTTTTATTCAGTTAGAAAAAAGTTCCGTAAAATGTCAACGGAACCAGTCTTCGTTCCGTAGACTATGCGAAGCTTTCATAGTTTTTGCAATTAACTCCTCACCAGTTTATTATCTATGTCAAACGTTCCTATAGCTTATCGGGGTCGCCGAGTCCAAATATGTTATCAGTTTTTTCCTCTGAGTTTTCATGGCTGAGAAAATCGGTCGCACTAGAGTCCAAAATTCACAAGGTAGACTTTTTATTTCACCTCCAATCACAATTCTGGTCAAACTTTCCTATAGCTTGTCGGGGTCGGTGATTCCAAATCTGTTATCAGTTTTTCCCTCTGACCTTTCNCTCGAGGCCAAATTGCACAAGGCAGACTTTTTATTTCACCTCCCATCACAATTCTGGTCAAACTTTCCTATAGCTTATCGGGGTCGCTGAGTCCAAATCCGCTATCAGTTTCTGCCCCTGAGCTTTCATGGCTGAGCAAATCGGTCGAACTGGAGTCCAAAATTCACAAGCTAGATTTTTTATTTCACCTCCAATCACAATTCTGGTCAAACTTTCCTATAGCTTATCGAGGTCCTAAATTCCAAATCTGTTATCAGTTCATACGTTAACCGTTGGAGTATCTGTTCATATGTTACGCACTTGGGTGTCTGTTTATGTGTTTCCCATCTGGGGTATCTTTCGGTGCTTTACGCATCTGGGTATCTGTGTTTACGCTACCCATTTGGGTACTTGTTTATACGTTACCCATTTGGGTATCTGTTTATATATTACTCATTTGGGTACCTGCTTATATGTTACCCGCTTGGGTATCTGCTTATGTGTTACCCATTTGGGTATCTGTTTATATATTACCCGTTTGGGTATCTGTTGATACGTTACCCGCATGGGTATCTGTTTATATGTTACCCATCATATTAACGTATAGCAGATACTCACGTGGGTAACGTATGCTAATATGCTATTCGGCGTAGAAAGGTTTACGTAGGTGAAAATCGGGAAAGCGCGCATTTTGAGGCGTTAAGAATGCGTGGAGTCATCAAGGGTAAAAAGATGTTGTTTTCGAAGGGATGAAAACGGTTTGGTTTTGCAAGCGTTAATTTGCGTAGAAAAGTTAACGTAGATAAAATCGGGAAAAGCGCACATTTTCAGGCGCCAACAACTCGTTGGTTTTTAAAGAGTAAATATGCGTAGATTTGGAAATGGTATAAATGCGTAGAAATCTAATTGATGAATACGGGTTAGTTTTAAACGCGTTGATTACCGTAGAGAAGCTAACGAAGATAAAATCGTAGAAATGTGCGCTTTTCCTGATTTGTTTTTCGTTGAAATTTCTACGCGTATTTCACCGTTTTTTTTGTGAGTTTTGTCTGTCTGGGTTGTTTGTTTTTCGTTTCCTTTTGTTCGACGTTCTCGCGTCACCCGAGAGAAATAGGCTCTATAGCGACAGACAAAATAAATAAATAGGTAACTTCTTTGTTTCCATAGCTTCCATCCCCAAGATCTGTGACGTGGTTAGAAATTGATCCGGTTGAAAAACGAATTGACGTTTCATGTTGGCTGTCTGCATGGCCTAAATAGAGGAAACGAAAACTGAAGAAAAAGTTTCGGCGTTCTACATTGTCTTGTCTCTGCCACTGAAGCAGCATCCCACGTAGCACCTGATTTCTCGCCTTCATTGTATTTCTCCTCTAGATATGATCGTTGGATCAATGTGAAAGGTATTCGTGGACGTGAACGAAAAAGCGCCCAGCCTTCTGTGAGCTTTTTGTCAGTCGTTGGTAACGATGATATATTGGTAGTGGCAACTGACAAATGCGGTACTTGTTTGTGATGATCGCTTTGTCGAGAAGCCGAAATGGTGGAATCATAATTTTGTGCGAGTCGAGGAGAAGGTGTTCACTCAGTCGATCTTCACGTCGGAACTGCATGATAAAATGTATATCTCGGGGTAATCAAAAGTGACGAATGCCGAAGATCGTTCACTGATGACACTAGTGTTATCGACATCCATTACTTGCTCATCAGTCGAAATATCATTGTTCAGATCTACATTATCAATGTGACCTGTTTACAAAAGGAATAAACTCCTGCTGTAATATGTTCAAGGAGGAGAAGCAGTCTTGCCTTTCACTATAGAATATGTTTGCCACTGAGAATTGTCGTGTCGAGCACCGATCTGAATCGGGTTGATTGGAGCAGTCGATGTGTTCAGTTCGGAACAATGATACGACTGACCCGGCCCAATGCCAAATGCGCGCCATACTGTGGCTTTGAGTTCTTCGTTGACTGCTGTCGATCCATGATTGAGTTTGTTTGAAATCAATTCATATTGTATATTGTTGAAGCCTTGACTTCCTTGCCATCTTATCTTGTTTGCCACGAATGAATTAATCAGACAGCAAGAAGTGTGTCTGAATCTTTGTAGCAGCCAGCATTGTCAGTACGAACATATGCTGTAGTGAGATTGGTATCCGCCTGTTTTAATTGTTTTAGTACCTAGAGCCATACAAAACTAACTGACGAGCCATACAAGCAAACTATTTGTAAACTTCCATCGCTCAATATGTTGACCACTGTGCGACCATCTTGTTTCACGTTGTCAAACACATGACAGATGATGAAGACGATGCAGAAGATGCTAACGGCTTGGCTCGAATAGCATAAGTCATGTGTCATGGTAGTCCTCTTTTTCTAAAAAAATTCTCGCTGAGGTTCTCTATACCAAGCGGGTAACCATTTCATAGCCCAATCAGTGGCGAGAAAGATGCTTGAATCATCGAGAGTGTCAAGTATGTGTTTGCGAGCGGCGTTCTGGTGCACTGTGTGGACAAAATGTTTTTTCCAGTCTTTGGTCAGTTGAATACTGTGATCGAGCCGATAGAGCAATCGATTGCGTATATCTTCGGGGATGTTAGTATTCTCTTTGAGAATATTATGAATTTGACTGAATGTCTCCGCATAAGTAAACAGGTTTCACATCTAGAATAGAAAATGGTCATCTCAGTTAGATATAGGCTCACGTGAACGCACTCGTCATTGTGCTCGTGTTGGCAACTTTGTCACCACCCTGCATTTTGGGAGGCGCTCAATCCCAATGTGGAGCAGTGATCAGAGCCAAGGCGCAGGTAATTGAATTAGATACTTACTGAAAGTGGCGATCTCGTCACACAATTTCCGAAGTTGATCAAATGCAGTTCCGCCATCGGACGAAAAGTTATCCAAGCCGGCGAGACTTTTTCGTGTAGATGCAGCACATTTTTGATGAATGGCAAACAATGATGATGGAGCAAGTGGTTTGAAATTGCTCCCACCAATCGTCTCGTTGCAGTAAGCGAGATACTGAGATACGATTCGAGATGGAATGATGTTGCGAATACCGTCAGGAGCGGCTGCTTTTTCACCACTACTAAATTTCGGTTTTCACTCTCCAAATGGCATATCCGTGGTGATATTAGGCGACTGAATGAAGGCGATAAAATATGACAACTGTTCTTCTGTATATCTTTCAATAGAAGCACATATTATTTCTGGAAGAATCCCTCGTCCTAATGAAGAAAAAAAAACGAAACAGCAATTTGCCCATAAGTAAGATAGTAATACTGGTGTTGTAATATTTTGGTTACCTTGGAAAAACACATGGACACGCGCAGCCTTTATTTTCCAATCTGATAGTCCCGTAAATTCGATTTTTAGCAAACGAGAAGATAGACCCCAGCTAAAATTGACAGAATTTGTCGTTTATTCGACCAATGTTCTGCTCTGGAGTAAGCGTCGACCAGCGAGCGTATGACTACCCGATACTCTCTGGCAGTGAAAAAGAAACATAAATATATAGGTAAAGTTTTTTAAAAGAAAATCAATCTTTTCACTACTACTCATCCTTTGTCCTTGCTGATTTTTATCTCTTCATCGACTACATCTTACCAGACTATGCCAACGTCTTTCGTTGCAAGTTGATGAAGAACATGACGAAAAATTGCTTTCACCTGGCTTCGAAGCATGGTCTGATCATGTTGGCTCAGTGAACGATAGTTATCGGTTGAGCACCATCGTCCTTCGTATCCTGTGGAAGCGAGTCACAGTTTTAATTCCCACTTCCCATTCGCTTGTTGAGAAGGAGAAACTTCACTGTAAGCAGGCTCGTAATTGTTGTCCCATTGTGATAAGCATGACACGGCAGTTGATGGAGTATGAGTAATATTTTCATCGTAGAGCCAATCGAATGGATCTTTGACATCATCCATGGAACCATATTCTATAACATATGCCTTTCTGCATTGTGTACAGACCCATCCATTGTAACTAGAAAAAAGCAGATAGCTTTTGATTTTGTGAAGAAATGGAATAAATGATACACATTCAAACGTTGAATACGCCATACACGCAATGCTAGAGTTTTGGAGATTCGACAAAGGCTACTGACCGAACGTCTTTTCCTGTTGGAGATGTCTACGCACAGTTGGCAGTTATTTGTTCGGCGTGACATATCGAGTAAAAAGTCACGATGGTTTGAGCACACCGTATGATGATAAATATTGCTTCGCTGTATGTCATAACAGCCTGCTAATAGAAGAAACTGCTCTAACTGAGACCGACACACAGTGTGTGGTTCATTAGAATATTCGAGTAAAGATGAAAATCCTATTTGATTATCGTTACAAGAAATCTAACAGTCTAAAAATCACCTGTGGAACTGTGCCCTCAACGAAACATGGATTTGGTTCATCAACATACATTCTGGTGATTTGAAAGTCAGAATTGACAAAAACGAAGATCTATAGCAAGTGACAAATCATCATTGAGGAAAAATAAAATAAAATACTCATTATGTAGAAACAAAACTGAATTGGTCATTCACACTAAACAAAAGAACCTCAAAACCAGATGAATCACATGTACATGCGGTGCTGTGTAGCAGCATGCATATTTCTTGTTCATTTCCCATAGGTCGCTCTGTCCACCGATTGAACCATTATCGTACTTTGGTTTTCAACGTGTAAAAGAGAATGCTTCTTCCAGCTAAACCAACCAAACCAAATGCGAGCAACAATAGGATTCAGTGACTGTACCCAAGCCTTATTGCAGAACAAGAATGTATGAGCACCCATTGAAATCTATACCTTCAACACACTTACCTTTTCAAGCACACACAGGCATCACAAGACATTTGCAAAGAGTGCAATGAAAAAATCTCATAAGTTGGCTTCAATTCGCCGCGAATGGGCACATATTTTACTAGTGAATGTCAAGAGTCTCAATGTAATATTATCTGCAATTGTTAAACCGGTGCATGCTCAAGAACGAAATGGTTTTACAATTATCTCAGCAAATGCAGAATAAATTCAGTGATCTGCAACTGCAATCAGAGCTGTAAGATCGATAAAGCATGCAAAGCTAGAAATTAAAAAAAGAACGTGATACAGGTTGACTTTCATACGTTTACTTTTTCGATATTTTTAGTCTGTTGCCAGGTAGAGAAATACAATCCCGTGCTTTATCACTGCGCTTGATGCAACTTCAAAAGCTCTATCGAATGACACTAACCCTGATCAAAACAGTAAGCGGAATACTGAGATACGAGTGATTTACTAAGACACTTCGGAGTTTGAAACTAGCAAAAAATGACTCATACTGAGGTAGCTTGCTAGGTACCTTTCGAAACTGTACTAATCCTTTGAAGCAAATATTTTCTAATGAAAAGATGCACCTTTTCACTCTCTACAAGATAGGCTAAACTCTTGCTTGGGCACTGTAAAAAATAGAGCCGGTAGAGCGTAAAAATTGCTAAAATCCCATGTAAAATCCGACATAAAATTGGTACTCTACGATGATGCAAGAGCTCTCAGGAATAACAAATAGCATGAAGAGATAAACAAAATATAGCATTTTGTAGAGTAGATTCCGCGCTATCGAATGGTATAAGATAATTATTCTATTGATTACTTTTTTCAACAAAAACATTCGTGCAAAAAACTTTTGAAAAAAACATTTTTTGACACGTATTTTTGGAACCTCAAAAACGTTGGATCTCCAAATCGAAAGAAGACTTTGCTCAAAAATAGTACAAATTTGGATTTGTGACTCATTTTGTATGCTCTATCGAACCTGATAGCTAATTTCAAAATCTAAAAATTTTCGGCAACCGAGTTGAGTGGTGATCTCATGCATTCTCTCTTAAATGGCCATCAGGCGACAATTGAGTTACAAGGTACAAGGTTGAGATGGATCAAAATTAACAGGAGTGGACCGCAAGGCTCTAGTTTAACACCGACGGTATTCCTTATCATAGTGATACGGCGAATTTTTATTTCCGAAGCGATGTCGTTCTTCCTTGTTGATGATCGTGCGACTGTATTAGCGGAACGGATTGGATTAAAATTTACAGAACAATGTATTGATCTGGAACGAAGACTACAAACGTTCTCTGAACAACTTGAACTTTATTGGCTGTGGGTGTGATCTTTTTTAGGTGAATGAATCCGATAGGATTCCTGGACACGGGCCTATTATCGGTTCTGACGGAAAAAAATTATTTTCTCCTTCATGATCAAATAACCATTTTGAGCAATCAGATCGCAAGGGTGATTCGATGGAGTTGGATTCCGTCAAAAATCCGACACCGGATCCGATTGGATCCAATACCAAGGATCCCACTGTAGGTCCGTGTCCAGGAATCGCATAAGATTTCGTCGGTTTTATTGAAACATATATGGTATTCGGTATATCCACTGCCTGATCCTTGTCGGAATCCAATAGGATCCTACGGTCGGAATGATTCTCCTGAGTTTACTTACAACCCATACCTACATGGTGATATCAAAAAGTACACCCACACCCACACCCACCCACACCCTCATCGTAGTGCTCATTTTTCTTTTCTTTTTTGCTGTTAGCTTGTTCGACTTTTTGTTTCTTCTTTCTTTTACTCTTCTTTTTTTTAATCAAGTTTTTCTCTTTGAACTTAAAAATCGATATTTTAGAGAAACTGAATCCTATTGGTCTACCATCATGGAAACATTGTGACCTCCATCATGTTTCACACTGTTTCTCTTATTTTCGCTATTTCCCTTAAACGCTTACCACACACTGATTCATAATAAATCTAGTAGATGAATGAAATAGAAAATATTGTATACGATTGTCAAAATAAAACTTAAGAACTGTATCTGATTGGTTCTTTACATGACTTTCTGAGCCACGTACTACTTCCAATGAGTTTGAGTATCGATTGACTGTATGTTTTATAAATATATCAATATTATTTTCTGTACCATCTGATGCCTTTCATCTTTGCTTGAAATTTTGTCTAGATAAGCATACCAATACTCTCAATTGTATCGACACGATGAATATTTTTCGGTTATTGGGCGACTTCTCTCATTTAGCTGCTATTATTATTTTATTAGCTAAGATTTGGGCAACACGCTCATGTGCTGGTAGGAATTCTTTTTTTTTGTAATGCTAAACGAACAGCTTCTCTACTAATTTTATTCTAACATAGGTGTATCTGGTAAAAGTGTTGTGTTATATGCTCTTGTATTCGTATGTCGTTATCTGGATTTATTTTTACATTTTGTTAGTTTATATAATACGATAATGAAAGTCATTTATCTTGTTTCGACATTTTTAACAATTTATTTTATTTATTTTAAATTTAAAACAACCTATAATCGTAATTATGATTCATTTCGTATTGAACTATTAATATTGCCAGCACTGGCACTTGCTTTTCTATGGAATCATGATTTTTCTGTACTTGAAGTAATATATTAATTAAAAAAAAATGTCTTTTCCTATGAATAAAATATTTTCGTATAGATTCTTTGGACTTTTTCAATCTATCTTGAATCAGTTGCCATTCTACCTCAATTATATATGGTCAGCAAAACAGGTGAAGCAGAAACAATAACAAGCCATTATTTATTCGCATTGGGCATCTATCGATTTTTGTATATTCTCAATTGGATCTATCGTTATTACATGGAAAGTGTTCTTGATTGGATTTCGATCATATCTGGCATTATTCAAACAGTACTTTATTGTGATTTTTTTTATCTTTACGTAACAAAAGGTAACAAAAATAAAATATTCTTAATTTATTTTATTTTAATTTAATATCTTCTATTTAGTTCTTCGTGGAAGGAGAATGCGTCTTCGAGAAAATATCTAATCAAGAAAAAGAATTTTTTCGAATAATCATGTTCTTTTCCGTTTTCAATAAATGTACGTTGATCTTTTAATACTTATCTGTTCTAGTCTTAAAAGAAGACAAATTCTTTTTACTTAAATATGATTATTTCGACCAGATGACTCTTTATAATATATATGGTTATTTGTTTTTCTTTTGTGTTGCTTTTGGCTTTGTTCTTGATCATAATATCGTTATCATTTTGTTCGTTTTTTTTCGAAAGAAAATTTTAATCGGGTCTATTTCTTTGTTACATTATGTTCAAATTTAGTTGTTTTAGTGTTCATGAAAATCCATTGTTATGAGGAAGAAAAAATATTTGTAACAGCATCTTCTGTTGTTATTGTTTGTTTGCCTGTGTGTTACTTCATGCTTTATTTATTCATATCTTACATACTTCTGATTTATTCTTCTTCTTGTTTTTTAGTTAGCAATATTAAAATTAAAGAAAAAAGTAATACTACACAGATATATGAATAACTCTTTATTCGAAACAGTAAACATTTGAATTGCGATTAACAATGATAGGATGTGTATAAGACTTATTTAAGAAGTAGAAAAACGTTCAATACTTTTTGTTTTAACAACTGCTTAGTGTAAATAACTGTTGATCCTGGAAAGGAAATAAAAAATGTTTGAATTCTCACAAGCTACTCGTTATGAAATTTATTATTTAAGAAAGAAAGGTGCCGCTTTGTAGAAGTGAGACATCACGAATTCAACTTGGCGATCACTATCGAAGGAAGAGAAGAATTCTATTGTAGAAATACAAAACAATACCTTTGTGTAAAGATTTACTATTGTGTAGATACGTGATTAAAAGACAGTCTCTCTGTTTTTTGTTCACATTCTTTCATTATGAATTCAATACATGAAATATATGCAACTCAGACAATGTTTAAATTTTTCGTTCAAGATCTGTTTGAATATTTGAATCTTCCATTGTTGTTGGTCGTTGTAAATTAAGAAAATGTTGAATATCGTTGACTAAATCTTGATCGACATTCGAAAAATTTTCTAATGCTCTTTTACAAATAAATTGTTGTGTTAATGTTAAACTTTTTGCTAAATTTCTTGCTAAATTTATTCGTTCATCTGGACTTAGAATTTGTCGATAAAATGTTTTAGCTTGACTAAATTCATCGTTATCATTCGAACATTCATAACGTGCAACATTGCCTTCGACTGAATAAATTGATTCTTTAAAACGATAGGATGTTGTTGCACCATGAAAACTATTAGGAAAATAATTCGGTGCACCATTTTGATTATTTAAACACATATAACCATTACGACAATTATTTGCCATAGGATTTAATGGACGATTCACAGGTAGTTGAGCATAATTTTTACCTAGACGATAACGTTGAGCATCCGAATAAGCAAAGACACGTGCTTGCAGCATTTTATCTAGTGATAATTCAATGCCCGGTACAAGATTAGCTGGTGAAAAAGCTAATTGTTCTATTTCGGAAAAATGATTTGTTGGTAAACGATTTAAAATGACAGTTCCTAACGCAATCAATGGATAATATGTTTTAGGCCAGATTTTTGTTGTATCGAAAGGATCAAATAGTGAATTTTTCATTTCTTGTTCATTCATTTGTTGTATACATACAGTCCACGAAGGTAATTCTTTGTTGATACAAATTGTATTGTACAGATCTCGTGTAGCATAGTCACTATCAAGACCAGCTAGCACAAGTGCTTTAGTAGGATCGATTGAACTTATACCTTGATTTGATTTAACATGAAAACGAACATATGATATTTCATCATCACGTGATATAAATTTATATGTATTAACAGAGTAACCATTCATATAACGATAACCATTCGGTATACCTCGATGACTGTAGAGCAATATCTAGTTACAAGATTGATGAGAATTATTTTTAAAATTAACTTATGAAATATATCTCTTAATAAAATGACAAGCTATCATAAATTTTCAATGTATGGCAAAGACGATATTTCATAGGTACGAAAGAATTCTATTTCACACTTACAAGACAGTGTGTAGTTTCTGGTCGCAATGTTAAAAAATCCCAATAGGCATCATAATCGAATAGATTAGTAACAGGATTTCGCTTTTGTGAATGTACAAGTGATGGATAGAGAATTGGATCACGTATGAAAAATACCGGTAAATGATTACAAATCAAATCAAAATTTCCACAATCTGTATAGAATTTAATTGCCATACCACGTACATCACGAATGGTATCTGAACTACCTAATTCACTACGAAAACGTGAAAATCTCATTGCTATCGGCGTTTGTTTATTGCGTGTATCGAGAAAATGTGCTCGTGTTATTGTTGAACCTATATCAGTTGTACATTGAAAAAATCCGAATGCACCTGAACCTTTTGCATATGAACAACGTTCAGGAGTTTTTTCTTCGTTAAATTGGCCTAATTCATCAAGTAAACATGTGTCTTGTAAAAGTATAGGACCACGTGAACCAGCTGTTAACGAATAGACTTTATCTCCAATCGGCATACCCGATAAACTAGTCATCAGAATAGGCTCATTGTTCGAGCGATAGGTTTGCAATTGATTAGCTGATACATCACGATTAAGTAGAAATAATGCTTCATTTGATGATATACTATTTTGAACATTACCCGACGGTATATTATTTGATTGATTTTGCATGTCAATGAGAAAAATGAAACGATTTATTGAATATCCTTAGCAACATTAGTTTTTTTTTCTGAAATTTGAGTACAATATACTTTATGATAACCAAAAGAAAAGCAGATTATGATTTTTTTTTCTTCAAATAAATCAAACCAATCAGATGAGCTCAAAAAAATGTAACATAAACTTTATAATCTATTCTATATTAGATAAAAATATCGATGCAATTGTCTAGCTATGTAATCAAACAAAGTACTATTTTATGTCTAATAAAAAATACGCACATATATGACTATAGTCGTCATAAAACTGAATGAGAATCGGTTCAGTAAACTTTTACCTATTCATACTTTTTTGTTACATAAAAAAAAATGGTAATGAATGTTGACTTCCGCAGTGAATACAACGGCCATAATAGATGATGTCAGCGTATGGCATTGATCAGTTATGCATAAAAGAAAAGGTGTTACTACATTGGTGTAATTAAAAATGCATAGAAAAGAAAGAAGAAAAATAAATGATGGAATATTTTATCTAATATATTCGTATTTTATTCCTATTAGCTTAATATTCGTGTTTCTTTGGTACGTTTGCTCGTAGGCTTCTATTCACTTAGTTATGCAGTTTATTGTTGCAATCAAGAACAGTAGGTATGCTGTTTTATTCAACAAATTTCAGTCTTTATTCTTTCATGCATAGTCTATTCGTATTTATACGTGTTCGTGTCACCATAATAACGATTAATATAGTTGTTAGTTGCATCAGAGAAATTCTTTTCTCTCCGTAGCTCCTGCAGAAAGAGAGAGAGAGAGACGGAACGAGACTGTGTAAAAATATGCTGCCAGTGTTTTTCTCCCGTCTTCCGACTCCTACAAAGAATGGGCAGGTAAAATATCATGTCGCATATATTTACCTATGTCAATCGTTATTTTAGTCGTCGTTAAAATGCGTGGCACGAGAAATACACAGTTAGGAGCTGACAAGCGTGTTTTATTTTCTACTAAAGCATTTCTTCTTCCTTTTTTTGTCGAGTTTTTCTTTCATATTATTAAATTTAAAATAAATAATAATATTTGATTATCAATTGAAACTACCTTGAGGCGCTACGAGTCGTCCAACGATTAATGCAAATCTTTTTTTTTCTACAGGTACCCAGGCTGAAAAAAATAGTGATTCTTTTTAAAATGCTTCGCTTCTTTGTTGTTGATTATTAATATTAAAATAAACGGAGGATGCGAATGTTTATTTACTTATTCTTTACACTTGTAAAGCAAGCCGGAATTCCCATCAGCTTGGCTCTTGGAAATTTTATTTGTTTACAAAGAAGTATTAAAATACATTATCGAATGATCGTTTTCTTTGCGATTTCATCGTAGTTAAATGTTCAGGATTCTCTTGATATTCTGAATGCATCTAATAAGATACTAGATAGAATACTCACTGAGCTACTACTATTTCTCTTTGCTTTCGTTTTTTTTTTATAATATGAATGTCACAGATAGAAATGACAAAGTAGAGATAGCTAGTTATTGAATGCAAACCAGACAAAGGTTTATTAGTCTCTCAATATGTGACACTAGACGGAACACAGAATAGAAAAAGAAATGAAGAAGAACGACAAGAAAGAATAGACGATCCGGAGATCGTAGAAAATTTTTCTCGGGTTTTTTTGTCATGTGCTATCAGTTTCTCGCTGTGTGCTTATTGAACTAACTGAGTATAAAATGTTTTTTTATTTGCCGCTCCGCACGATTCGATGTCCGGTTATAACTTTTTTGCATGCATATCTGACATTAACAATGATCAAGACGACTGTATTACGGCTTCATGAGTAAATAAAACCTTTTTTCTTGTCTCTGCGAAAGTATTGTTATCAAAGTTATATTGATGAAACCTCAGAGGTGAGTGAATATATTATTAATGCTTCATTTTCTATCGAAAACTTCACCTTACAAGAAAAATGTTCGACTATGACAGTAGTAAGACATGTTATTATAACATTAATGAATAAAGCATGATTTATTCTGATTAATAACCTTAAGGAAATAGTCTATATTTCGCATGATACAATTCAATCTATTATTAGCACATCTTGTTCAATTTCCTTCCATCTGGAAGAATAGGAATTGAATTTTTTTGTTCTGTGTTCAGGGACAAAAAAAACAGAACAAATTTATTTTCACACATACGATTTTATCGCTTTCAAACAGAAAAAAATGTTAGCCATTATTATAGATCAAATAAGATGTTGACAATATAATGGTTTGATAGAAATTTCTATCAGTAAAATTAATTGATGTCAAATAATTATAATTCTTATCTTCTACATTATTTTCTTTTGTTGTTATTATACTGAGTTATTCATATGTTTGATCGCGTAGTAACTTGACTTTATACATGCAAAGTATAGGTAGAATATTCTTGTTTAATCGACTAGAAAAGAAAAAAGTATATTTTGCGGTCGGATGATTGCATGCTGATAGAAAGAAACGTTTGCTTGTGTATACTATATTCAAGTCAGTCTTCTATAGATGTATCTGGAAAATGCTTTCAAGTTTCGTATGAATTCATATAATTCGTCTGCGAAGTGAAGAAAAGGGGTCAAGTCAAATCTTACAAGTCTTCTTTTCAATCATTATCGATAGAATTCATACGAGAGCAGACTTTTTGAATAGTATCATGCTTTTTAATCTGATTAAAAATAGATACTTTCTCACTTGCTATGTCTTCGCGATCAACTTATTTTTCATCATTCATATTTCAAAACAAAAAATAAATATCTTTTTTGATCAAATTTACCATGCCACTCAAATGAGAAGCTTAAACTAAAGTCGCATTGATTTCAAGATTTCTTTTTTTCTTTCTTTCTTTCTTTCTTTCTTTCGGATTGTTTTTTGTTTAATCATCGAAACTTCTATGCAGTAGTTGCTATGCTATTGCCCTTCATCCTTGATTGCGTACGCTGTCGATACCAATTTTCAATAGCTAAAGTATACAAAAGTACGTTTTTTTCGTTCTGTCGTCAACATAGTTACCTTTATACTAATTCGCTGTACATTTCAATTTTCTTTCTGACAATGTATGTTTTAAGTCCTTTGCTTTTTACAGTTTCGTTTACTTATTTTTCTTTTCTTCTTTAGCATGAATAACAAACTTCTGCATAAGATGAACACCGTTCGATAGTTCAACAAGATGCGCCCGACAAGTAGAGTCGGGCAACAGCCAGTCATTTGGCTTTTGTTCCTCTTACGTTTAAGAAAATTCATTCGACTACGATATTTATTATGCATATTTTTACTGCTCATCATCATTACTTATTTGCGTCTTAATAATTCTGATCCTTCTTATCCAATAAAACCTAATAGAGATAAACTGACTGATATTGACAATAAAATTTTACCTCGTGCAGAAAATATTAATAATGATAATGATCATCATCTTGTAGACAAATGTAATTTTGACGCAACAGAATCTATACTTCGATATAAATCTTTAAAAGCTTCGAATGATGATACCAATGATAATCGTGCTAGACCCACAATTCAACGTTTACATTCACTTTTTTCAATACTTATTTCTACCGAAGAAAAATATCGAAAAGTATTAGAATATCTTGGCGTATTTCGTTTTACTGATTTGTATAATACTCTAATTCCATTTGCAAACAATACTCAACGTTTACATGATATTTACTGTCATTTCCAACGTTATATAACTATATCAGATAATGGACATATTGATATTGCACCAAATTTCATTAATTATTTGAAGCAAGTATCCAATTATTTATCAGATGGTTTTACCAGTGAACATTCCCTATGGACTAAGACACCGATAAATGATTTAAAGAAACCGGTTATTATTCTTGGAGCTAACTCACGTTTTTATGACACATTTCAAGCATCAATGCGTACAGTTAATCAATATTTTTTGAATTCTACCATTGCTATATACGATCTTGGTTTTGATGGCAATCAATTAAATATGGTAAAGTATTCTCTTGTTAATTAAATTCATTGTTGTCTCATCTTTAACAAAATACATTAGAGAATAAATAGAATTTCTGGGATAAAAAAAAAATTAATAATTCATTTATTTTATTGAACAGCAATCATTTAGATTAGAGAAACACCCATGAATAATCAATTGAGAATAATGTTAACCAGAATCTTAATCACACATCTGAGAATTATTCTATTCGATGTATACGTATAAATCAATTGATTATTTTCTTCTACTATGTGACGTCTGTTAAGTACTTCAAGCTGTGTTATCGAAGCCTAAGACGCTCTATTACTTGATTGTGAATTCTATAATAAGAAGTTTCAATATGTACACAGCAAAAGGAGATTTATTATATAATTCTAACGACGAAAGAAACATGTCGATATAATCCAGAAATAAGGAAAGGAAAGAAAAGAGAAGGCAGAGGTATTTCTGTTTTTTTTTCTCAATTCACGATTGATAACACTTTTTTTTTCTATTCTAGATTAAAGAAAATTGTGAACGATGCATAATAATTGGATTTCCATTTCGTGAAATAGAATCGGTCGCTCCTCATGTTCGACAATTACCAAATTTTGCTTGGAAACCTATTATTGTTCAGGTAAACGCTTTTTATCTTTAAAAATTCATGTCTATAATGATTGATTTCAGGATGCTGTACGACGTTTTGGTACTATAATTTACGGTGATACATCAGTTCGTTACTTAACCTCAGATTTCAATCGTATAATAATTGATAATTTAATACGAGGATTCGCATGTCGGGAATTACCGGATCATTATCTATCATGTTACACTTTAGGCGGCACATTTTCATGGTTCAATGAGACCAATTCTGCGTTCGATGATATTTATATAGCTGAAGCAGGTTTTGTTGCTGTTACAGATAATTTTCTTTCGCGTCTTGTACTGAAAACATGGGTGACATGTGCACTGGATGGAAATTGCATAGCACCATCAAATTCTAGAACTCAATGTAAACGTCTGGTTGGGGCCGGATCAGGCATACATCGTTATGATCAATCAGCTATGGTTGCTGTATTGTCTTTTTATTTTTTTCAAAGTTCACGTAAAAACGATAGAACTGAACCAGCACCTTACGATATGTTTTCATCCATACAAAAAAAAGTAGCTGAAGTTCGACGTTTTGAAGGTGATCATGGTTATTTTACACAGAGAAAAAAAGTTGAACCTGAACAGAACAAAACAATTCCAATACACCATAGATAGAACATGAAATTTCAATAGCTTTACACAGTGAGCCTGATGAAATTATTGTGCCAATGGAAATCTCAATAGTTGTGATATTTATTATACAGTAAAGCTTTTGTTTTTTTAATCTTTCTTGTTAATTCATTTTTATCTCGAGTAAAAAATAAAATAATAGACCAATTCAAAACAAAAACACTGGGTAATCGCTACCAGCATTTTTTGTTGTTGTTGTATTGATGATGGAAAGTGAGTCTTGACTTGCAAAAAAATAAGATTCTCGTATGGATTTTAGTTTCAATAAATTTATTCTGTTTTATCATAGAACAACTGAATAGTAAATAGAAATTTGCAATGCAATGAAACTGATCATAGGCTTTAAAGATAAATTTTATCTTTTCGCGTGCCTGCACTCATCGATCACAATTGATACTATAGAAATTTAATAAGTTATGGTTCAATGTAGAAGTCATTGCCGAAATACTCGTGGGAAATCCTCTCAAGTATCGAAACTGATGATGTATGGACATGCATGCGAAATTAGTGACATGATTGTGGTTTGATATTGTTTCGAAGAAATAAACGTTGATCTATGTTTTAAGCATTCTCAAAACACTGCTGTCCAGATGATGACACATTCAGTATTTCCATTATTTGATGAATTCTCGTTCACTCTTTTACTCCATGTTATAATTTGATTACTTTCAGGGCTGTTGTTAAAAGTTACAGCTGCTAGCAATGTACTTGTGCTAAGCATGCTCGTTCATTCAATGTCTTTTTTTCTATAGCGTTTTTCTCTCAAGATTTATCATTTCCTATCTGGCGTATGTTGTTAGTGTTCTAATTTTATCAATAATCTTGTGAGCAAGTAAAGCGCGATTGGATTCATCTATGAATCTCGCGAAAATCAATTGGCCTTGAGTTATTTCTTATGACGTTTACTGTAATTTGCAATCACTTCAGAAGACTTTTGATTTCTATTGAACTTATTCTAGCTCGTCTAAATTTACAAGTTTCTGTTTGTTTTCGCTCAGTGAGTGCTGTCCACACAGTTGATAGACTAATTTCTTTCTGCAATAGGTGCTAAATACAGATCGTAATTTTTACGATTTTTTCATGCATCTGTCACAGCATATGAATACAAAATCGTGAACAATTTGTTCGTGCTTTTCAAATTTCATAAATCAATTCTATTTAAACAATAATATTTATTCCCATACATTAAATTTGGACAATAGAACGATGAATCTTACGAACCACTATCATCTTCTATTTTAATTATTCGCATTTCAGATATTGCACACAGATTGTGTCGTATGTGTTTCTACTGCCCTCTATGTTTTTTTTCTGCTAAATATTACATAATAATATTGGCTAGTTGACAAATTCTAATGAAAAATACCAACCAATAACGAACCAGTCAGCTGTTTTTGTATACTATAACCCTCTTTCTTTGCTTTTGTTACTTGAAGAAATTTACTTATTTTGAATACCATTCCGACATTTTGTAGAAAGCACGCATAATGCGTCATTCTGCTTTTCATGGCATAGAAAAAACTGCCCAGACAATTGATGAAGAATACGAAGGTTTACAAGCTCGTTCCGTTGATGATCATTACAATTATCCATTTTCACCAAATACGAGTGATGAATTTTTGACTGATGCATCCAATAGAAAAGAGCATTCATTGTTTACATTTGTTTCATCAAAAACAAAACAAGACAAGAATAAGAAGAGAAAAGATAAAACTTCTGCTAATAAAGTAGAAGAAGAAGAACCAGCTATTTGTAAAGATGCATTACCACCAACTAGAGGACGTCTTACATCACGGGACGAGCTTGATACACAATTTGACATGGATACAGAAGATGATAAAGCAAGATCGAAAGCTGCCGGTAAATTCTATTGTTTTATTCTCGAATAAAAACCTAATGATTGAATATTTCAGCTACTCCTATTCGTCAATCGGACCTTGACACACTTCCTTCTCGTGTAGCAACGTTAAAAATAAGTGAAAGAATTGATCGAAGTATATCACCACAAAAGAAATCCAAATCTACAATAAATTCTCCCAGTGTAACACCAAGACAAGGTGTTTCACCAGCTCCTGTTTCACGTCGAAGTGAAAATACGCCATCAGGAGTTACTTCCACTTTAAAACGTCGTCCAATAGCTGCTGATCGTACAAATACATTACGTGATTATAATGAACGTCTTGAGGGACGTGATTTATTAAATTTAGTTGTGGTCGGTCATGTTGATGCAGGAAAATCTACATTAATGGGTCATCTACTTGTTAAATTAAAAGTTGTGGACGATCGGGCAATGCATAGAAATAGAACTGAAGCTGCTCGATTAGGAAAAGACAGTTTTTCATTTGCTTTTGTTTTGGATGAATCTGAAGAAGAACGATCACGTGGTGTCACTATGGACATTGCTCAAGCTCAATTTAAAACGAAAACGAAAATTGTTAATCTCGTCGATGCACCCGGACATAAAGGTAACTTTTTCTAAAAACAACAGATATTATCATAAGTTAAAAATATTTATTAGCCAACTATTCATGTTTTGCTTATTCAATAAGTATCATGGGAATTGAAAAATTTGTGTCAATATTTTCTCCCTATAGATTTCATATTTTTATTTGTATTCAAATCAATGATAAAAGCACTGTCGAGATTATCAGCGCACAGAGAAATCTCGGTACAATTAGACGTACTCGATTTTGGAAGAAAGTAATTGTTCGTTTTAAAAATTCAATATCTCGCCTAACAAAAATGTTTTCAGAATATTCTAGATTAAGTTAGTTTTTCTATTGAAAAATGTAAATAAAATTGTTGAAAAGAAATAATCAATTAGTAAAACACTACAATAAAGAATCCTTTTATTTTTGATAATCTCATGGCAATTTTTTCCTAGACTTTATACCCAATATGATCAACGGTGCAGCACAAGCTGATGTTGGTATACTTGTTGTTGACAGTCGTCGTGGCGAATTCGAAACTGGCTTTGAATATGGTGGTCAAACACGTGAGCATGCTCTATTATTACGATCACTTGGCGTATCACAATTAATTTGTGCTGTTAATAAAATGGACACGATAGAATGGTCACAAGAACGATTTGAAGAAATTGTTAAAAAACTCTCTGCTTTTCTTAAACCATCGGGTTACAAAGACGCAGATGTTACCTACGTACCTGTCAGTGGTTGGACAGGTGAAAATTTAATTACACCAAATAGTCCACCATTATCTTGGTATAATAAAGACGAAAGTACTTCGAATACAACAGTGAACGGTGTTATTCATGGTGCGACATTAGTTGATTTAATCGATCGTCTTAAGCCACCTGAACGGCCTATGTCAAAACCATTTCGTCTTTGTATATCAGATATTTATCGTGCTACGGGTGTTGGCGCTGGAACTGTATCTATAGCAGGCCGTATTGAGTGTGGTGGTGTTGAAGTAAATGAACGTGCTATATTACGACCATCGAACGACCAAGTAACAATAAAATCTATACAAATTGAAAATACAAATGTTACGTCAGCGTTTGCTGGTGATACTGTTACATTGAATATTCAAGGTGTTGATCCGACACATTTATTTATTGGTAATGTTATTTGTGATCCTGAATATCCCATACCATGTGCAACAGTAATTCAAGCCCGTATCATCATATTTAATATCTCAGTACCAATCATCCCTGGAACGCCAGCTGTATTTCATTTTAAATCGATGCAAGAACAGGCCAAAATAATGACTTTAGTAGAAGAATTAGATCGTTTAACAGGTGAACTTAAGCGACGAAATCCACGTTTATTACCAAAAAATTCAAGTGGTGTTATTGAACTTGTACTTCATCGACAAATATGCTGTGAATTGTATTCCGATGTTAAAGAACTAGGACGTTTTATGTTAAGACAGAGTGGTTTGACGATGGCAGCAGGAATTATAACAAGAATTATAGCTTGAAAAAAAAATAAGCGAAAGAATTTATAAATAAAATTTTGTTTATTTTTCTTTTTTGTTAACATTATTCCTTTTTTTTTCTTCTGATTCTTTCAGATGTTAATTACTGCTATTATAATTGCTATTGGTTTAACAATTTTAGCACTTATTGCCACTATTATTTGGTTATTAAAAGCTTCGGGACTTTTTACATCGATAAAAATACAAGTCACTCAGCCGTCATTTGAGTTTCTAACGATTGTCTATAAATTTCAAAAGGGTGATTATTCAACATCAGCAGATATATTTAGGGATATTATTAATTATTCACCATCACATTCAACCATTGGAATTTATTATGATAAAACAGATGTTGTAAGCTAATAGAGATAAAAGAAAAAACCTGAAAAAAAACTATTTTGATTTAAATTAGACACCTGTTGAAGAACGACGTTTCATTGTTGGTGTCATTGTCGATGAAACGAAAGATGCCGAAATGATCAAACGAATGGAAGCTGATGATTATAAAATTTTTAAGCTTCCAAAATCTGTCCAATCCGTTTATACGACATTTCCATTTAGTAGTGTGTTTTCTGTTTCTATTGCAAATATGAGAGTACCATCACGTTTAGAAGGTTTCATTCAGGTATATATATATATATATATTGAATTTTGGCTTGTTGATGATTGCAAGTGAATATTTTTGTTTTAGTCGAATAAATTGGATGCTCATCCTTTGATTGAAATCTACGAACCAACAATAATACATTATTTTGTTCCGTTGAGTAGTCATGAAATTTATAATGTTCCTGAATTAATTTCGGAATCCTCTTAAAATAAAGAAACGCAATATGCATTTTGTTTTGTCTTTCTAGATAGAAAATTTATATCTATATATATATATATATATTAGTTCTTTTGTGACATTCTGTAAATAAAATAAAAGCACAATGGCTAATCTTCCATGGTTAGTATATGTGAATGAATTATAGACGAAAACACAATGAATTATTTTAATTATTTAGGATTGAAAAATATCGACCGGCCACACTCGATGAACTTGTTTCTCATAAAGATATTATCGATACAAGTAATTGTTGACCTAGTGAAATTTATTGATCGAGAAAGCTGCCTTTTGTGTCTTTAGTCAGACGTTATATATCACTTGGTGAATTACCACATCTACTTTTCTATGGACCAGCTGGCACAGGTCGGTTTTCTTGTGGAAATCTAATTAAGTGATACATTCGATTATTCTATGTTTAGGAAAAACAAGTACTATTTTGGCATTAGCTAAACAAATGTATACGCCAACAGAAATGCGTGGTTGTGTACTTGAAGTAAATTGAAGATTTTTGCTGTATTTCTAAGGAATGTTGAATAAAATTAATGATCTGTAGTTAAATGCATCTGATGATCGAGGCATTGGAATAGTACGTGATGAAATTCAAACATTTGTTAGTACACAAACTCTTCATAAGTATGAAAATATCGATATTTTTTGTTATTTGTATTCATGAAAATGGCTTCTGCATCTGTTTTAGGAAAGGTATTAAATTGATTATTCTCGATGAAGCTGATGCTATGACGAACGATGCTCAAAATGCTCTTCGGCGAAGTATATATATCAATGGTTTTTCTAATCATTTGTTTACATTTTTCTTGTATAGTTATTGAACAATATACAGCTACGGCTCGTTTCTGTTTTATTTGCAATTATTTATCAAAAATAATTCCAGCTGTACAATCACGTTGTACACGCTTTCGCTTTGGTCCTCTATCGAATGAACAAATGATGCCTCGATTAGAACATGTTATCGAAAAAGAACAGTAAGTTTAAAACTATTTCATCAAGAGTAAAAACAATAACAAAAAAAACTTTCATTTATTCAGAGTGCAAATTGAACCCGAGGGTAAAAAAGCAATCCTTCAATTAGCTAATGGTGATATGCGACGAGCATTAAATATTCTGCAGGTATTATTGTTTGATATTAATATATCCGTTGCCTATCAGTTAATTTGCTTTTGCTAAAAACAAAAGCAACATAGTGGGTCTATTTGGTTTCTTCTTTCAATCTGGTTTTCTTTAGGAATTTACAAAAACAACATCTTCATAGCAAAACTCAAGATTGTCGTATTGATTAATTAGAATAAGGAGAGAACGAGCGAACTTATTCAATAGTTAATCATCCTGAGTAGTCTTTTTTTTGTATTTGGAGAAAATATGTTTAGTTGTAGAAAACAAAATACACCTGAAGATTTAGGGCTACCAGATAGATTTGCTTTAAGCTCTTTGACACAATGATCTTGTCTTCGGTTGAAATAAAAAAATTTAATTAACTATTTCTGTTATGTGCGACGTCATCGAAATTCTAATCTATCGTATAATTCTTTTAGAGTTCTCATATGGCATCTGGTTTAGTGACAGAAACTTCGGTATACGAATGTGTTGGTCATCCATCAAAAAATGATATCAAAACAATGATAAATGTATTACTGAATGAAAATTTTACAGTTGCTTCACAAAGTAAACTAAACATGATGAATAATTGTATTGTGATTTGGTTTTATTTGACAGGATTATCGGCATTAAAAACGATTAAAGGTTATGCACTAGCAGATATTCTTACTGAACTTCATCGATATGTTCATAGAAGTAATTGCAATGATTTTCTTCAATACTTGAAATTTATCTTTTCAATTTCTAGTCGATTTTCCTCGTGATATTCGTATACATCTTCTGATTAAAATGGCTGATATTGAGTAAATTTAATTGATAAAATGAGATCACTCATCGATTGATTTTATTTTCTAGAAATCGTTTAGCAAATGGTGCTACAGAAAAGCTACAACTTAGTGCACTTATATCTGCTTTTCAAAAAGCTCGTCAAGTTGAAAGTTCATAAATCTATATTTTTTTTCTTATTCTTTTGATACAATAGAAAACAAAATGATGTCAGATAGTAGTTCTTTATATAAATAAAATCATGAAAACAATTTGTATTATTTTTTTTTCTCTTTTGTGGTTTTATTTAAAACAGCAGTAGTAGTAGTAGTAGTAGTATTTGTAATACCGATTGAACAACAAAATAAGCAAGGCAAAATGTTGATGAACTTGAATTGAATTGAGTTAAACCAATTTTACAACGTGCATCCGTCGAATGACGTGTGCATCCATCAACACCACCTGGACAATTTATATTTATTTGCGAATAAAGATAACGTTCAAGTTGTTGAAATTGACCTTGTACATCATCTTGAGAACATTTATCAAGACGAGACTTTAAACAACGAAAATAAACTGTTGCTTGCTGACACCAACTACGTTTATTAACTGTATTCCATGATGGATTAAATTTAACGGTGATCGCTAACGGTTGACATAAACTATTGATTGCTTTTACTTGACATATATCATTGGATAGAAGTGTTTGTGTAGGCGCTGAACCAATATTATCATTTTTTAGCAATCCACTCGATAGACCACCACCTGCACGAACAGAATCAACTGGTTCGGGCTTTTTTTCCGACTCCCAAATAATATTAAATTTATAATCTTCAATTTTATCGCTACAAAAACCTAGGAGATCATCAACACGTTTTCGAATGCCTAAAATCAAGAAATCACACGAACAATATTTTGTCTATTGCAAGTTTAGTGAATGCTTTTAAGAGAGATGTGCGAGAATATTGTACAATTTTACATTGACTTCAAACTATTATTTCAATAGTCTTAATGAATTCAAATAGTGACGCGGTTAAAGAAAATTATTTTCAATAGGAATTGTTGAGATAAAAATATTTGTGAAGTTCATGCTCTCTAGAAGATAATCAGTCGTCTTGTTTCATTGCTAACAGCCAGAATTAGAGTAGTTTCTATTGATTACATGAAGCAACTAGAACTCTAAAAAAAATGAAATGTTCTCGAGGTCTTTATGACAGTTTATAGTGGATTTGCATGCATCTGAAGAAATACGGTAAGAAATACTTTTTTTGCTATTTTCTAAGAAAGAACGACTAAAAAAGAATTGTGAATATTTTTTCTATAGTTCGCTTCAAGAAATATTGTGAAGAACTTCAAGACCTGTCATTTTATAGTGTACGAGTTGCTTCGTATAATCAATAGAAAAAAGCTATTTTGATCGTATGTTGAGTACCAAACACTATTGTTCGGAGATTTTCTGAAATATGGCGCAGATTTTATTTTTCACGGACTCGTATCGTCAATGAATTTTCTCTGTTACAGTCACTTCTGCAATTCTTCGTGCAAATTGTCAACTATATATAAATGTGAGCATCGTAAATATGATATTTTTTTAAGGATTGATCAATCATGGTCTCCGTAATTTACTGAATAGCTTGAAATAGATATCGATGAATAAAAGATCTTTTCAAATTTTAAAAATAATAATGATTCTTACAGTTTCTATTCCGAAGTCACTCTCAAATTTTTGTTTCTTTTAGTGAATCTTTACTCTTCAATTCAACTTTATGAGCGAAAGTGTTTTTCTTAACATAATACGTCGCTAGGCAAAGCATCACGCGTGAAGATAATCTTCAAATACAGCCTTTCTAATGATCTCTTCTAACTAAAATATAAAAAAAGATAATCTTTCCTCTCTATGCAGACAGGAATTACGGGTTTCTTTCATTCTATTACTTCAACCTCTCGGATAGTATGCGCACACTCTTCTTCTACATTTGTTAGTTAAACTCGCATCCGCACCTTCAAGATTGACAATCCTAGATTTCACTTTTTTGATTTCATGCAAATATATCAAGAAAAAAGAAAAGCTTCTTACCTTTTAACATGGATTCCATAGCCATTTCATATTTTTCTTTATTTTCGCAACCCCGATATTTTTTATGAACACATTCGAAATAAACACGCGATGCGATACAATATTTGATTGGATCTGACTCTCGAAGTTCTTTGTCTGGCTTCTCGCCACATGCGCGTGCACCCATTACATCGCATGCATGCATTTTTGATATTAATATTAATTTAATAAATAGGAATGTGTAGAAAAATGGAAAAAAACTCGACGCATAATTGTACTTCATTTCATTTCATTAAAGTATAAAATCAAAATAGTTTTATATACAGGACATAAGTTTGTTTAACGTTCTTGTCTAAGGTCGACTATTATAAGCAGCACGCTTTGATCAAATGGAACAACTAAGACAGACAGTGAACAGTAAACTTGTACAGACGTGCGCGGACTAAATTTTTGTTTCTCTTCGTGTTTTCTTTTTTTGTGTTTCGTTATATCATTGTTAGATGGTTGTTGCATCAACGAAACAATTATCATACAAAAATTTGTATACGATTAATCGTCGTTGACATTTTCTTAGTAAACAAAAAATAAGAGCTTTAGTCAACGACGATCATGAGAATGAACAAATATTTATTTAATAACCGAATTTATGTTCAACTTCGTTTCGCAATTAACATGTAGGAAACATAATAATGTCCTAAGTATATTGTGAGTTTTTTCTTTCGTAGTAAGAAGCTTAGCCAATGTATTCTATCGAAAAATGGTCATCATTAATTTCTTTTTTTCTGAACTGAATTTCTATGAAAAATAAATATTTTATTATATATGACAGCAACAATATTTCGATTTATAGACAATCGAAAGGAAAGAAGAATTCTTTTGTCACAAGAATGTTCCTATTTCCTAGTTATGGCTCATTAATAATTTCTAGATCAATTACCTCGATATTTCATTAGTAGATTTTTTCAATCGATTCAATCTCATTAAAATTACAATCGTGCCTATTTCTAAATACATCATAAACGTTCGATTGTGTTTCAACGTTACTAATCGTGTTAAAAATTAGAGGAGTACAAAAACAGGACTGATAATATATCTGTTTAATGATTTTATTGTAGTCTGTCAAATTCAGATTTTCGCAACTGAATTAAATAAAACACTTGATTAACAGCATAACTAAGAAATTCATTTTTCAATACGTCCATCATAATGAGCTATACCAATAGCAATACGATTTTATACACTAAATTAGATGTATCTATCCTTATCATTCGTATCAATAAAATATTCGATATTCTTTGAAATCAAAAAATCTTTCAATGAACATCTGGAGTATTTTAACAGAATTTAGACAATGGCAAAACATGTGGTTGTTCACTTGTTTTTGGTGAAAATAATGTAAAACCTTGAAATTTACAAAAATTCTTTACAGGTCATCTCTATATCTCTGCATAAATCAGCATATTTCAAAAATTTGATGAAATTTCGATACTATTTAGAGTATGTTTATTCATCATTACGCAGTTTTAGTCTTTTAATAGAAAAAAAAAAATATCGATTTTTCAAATTCTTGCATCAAAAAAAGGAAATTTCTCTTGATCGATTGCATCACAGTTGAATTTAGTAATCACTATTGGTTTTAGTCAGCATAGAGGAAAAAACTGTGGAGCATTTTCTTTTTCTACTAGCAGTTTTTAGTTATTTATTATTGTTATTTTTGCTTTTCATTATTCATTCTGTGAAAAACGGAACAAACGACGTATTGTAACAATAAATTGATTAGAAATAAAAAGAACAAATAGGAACAAATTCTTTTTCACTTTTCAGCGACCTCTTTATGTCAGCTTTTTTTTATTTCTTGCTCTTTCTCTCTGCATCAATTGGATCGAATGCAACTCGAGAAATTTGATTGACTGATAGGTAGATAGTAAGCGGCCATCGGTCAAAGCGTTTTTACTGATATCTTAAAATTAAAAGAATAATAATAAAATTTAACAAAATGTTTTTTTTTTCAATGTTTAGTTTTTCTTCATCAGTAATACATGGGTACTATTTATTATTATTACTATTATTATTATTATTTTAAGCAGCCATGAACAACAACAACAATAATACGCCATTATCAAATCGAGTTTGTTCTGTTTTTGTTTTACTCATGAAATTTCTTAATTTTATTTTTATTTTCAGTCGGATGGCACCGATTCAGGATCGATGATTTCTTCTGCTTATTCTTCTAACAGTATATCTTCTACCACAACATCATCAAATCGGTCATTTCCCCAACAAACTTCAATGCCAATGCATTCTGATCTAGATTCATCGCTAAGCAATAATACATGTGTACCACAATTTGATCAACGTCGGCAAATTATACATCATCTTGCCCTGTTACTTCATGCGCATAAGTGTCTTCAACGTGAACGACAAACGCCGATCAATGGTGATGTACATGACATAACACTTCAACATCCTTGTACAGTACCAAATTGTGCAGCGATGCGAACTGTACTTCAACATATGACAAAATGTTCTGATTTTAAAAATTGTTCTTGTAAGTATTTCATATCAGTCGCAATGAATTTAATGATTACAAGCTGATCATTTTACTTTTTTGTTGGTATTGTAGGTACTATTAAAATATGTGACTTAATTCTTGAGTTTGCAGAAAGTAGTTACATGATTAAGTCTTATAAACTTGTCCCTATACTGTAGAAGAATTTCTTAAAAACATATCAATTTTTGTTTTCTAGTTACCAATTGTGTTCAGTCTCGTCACATAATACTTCACTGGAAAAATTGTGCAACACCAAATTGTTTTCTATGTGGTTCGTTAAAAAAATCACCTGCTGTTCGATCACAAAATCCATCAAGTAAAATTCATCTAGAAAATATTCTTAAACAATGTTGTTGTTGTTGTTGTTATTTTTTTTTGTAGCAAAAGAATGGCAAAAAAATATAAATCAGGATCATCGAAGTCACTTAGTAAAAAAGATAACGTCAGCGTTATTAAATACAATTCAACATGATAATAATTCACTACCACCAGAACGTTTAGCTGTTGTAACGAATTACGCACAGAAAACAGAAGCTGATACATACAATACAGCTACGAGTCATGAAGACTATTTTCAACGTTTAGCCGAACGGATTTATAAAATTCAAAAAGATTACGAAGAAAAACAAACATTAAAAAAGCAACAAACATTGAACACAATATTGACATCGATTGATAAATCAGCTGGCGACCAAGGTCCACCAAATCGTATAGCACCACAAATCGATTATTCAACATCATTTTTAACAACACAAATTAAAACCGAGTCAGATAGTAACTATCATTCAAATTCAACAGCATTATCAGGATCGTTTGAACAACATCGTATTTCGACTGATGCTATCAGTCGATTGGCTATTCACAGTAACAATTCAAATGCACATAAAGATACAAATGATAATCATATTGATATCACTAAAATTAAAACAGAAGAAATTTCATCGAACTATGACACTAAAATTCAAGTAAGAATTTTTTTATCCTATGAAATTTTGCGAACTGTTAGAGACGTGAGAAAAACGTTTGTATAGGAAAGGGGTGGATCGACTCGTTTTGTTATGTTCTTCAAATTATTTTCATAAACTACAGATAATTTAATAAGTGAAGGAAAATAATATTCTCATCGAATAAAACTTTTTATCATAACTAACTATCCGTTTTGATATATGTTCAAACAAAAAGCACACTTTCTTGCTAATACAACGCTAGTTATTTATTCTTCTAGAAGATCGACGGATAAGTGCAAAATAACTTTTTTCTATACAGTAACTTATAAATCGTTTAAATTTTTTTGAAATTCTTGTAAGCATATCTGAAACAGCAGAATGTATTCGTATCATAGCTAACGCAATTCTTTCATAATAACTCATATTTATAAAAGTTCTGGTCTCAAACATTTTTAACCAGTACCGAAAAATCGTAACTTTGAAATTATGAAAAAATTCTACACTTTTGAATGAACCGATCAAATACCAAAAACGATCTGCATAGAAATAACACTTATTCTTCATGTCACATCAATAGTTCCCCAAAACGGATTTTTCAAAATTCGATCAATTACATTCGAAAGAACCCGACGTCTACTTAGTTTTTGATTCGTTCATTTATATTATATGTATCTATCAAAACTTCAAGTGATTCATAAATAAAATTTTCATCATATTTTCTTGTCTAGTCGACCACAATTGTTAAGAAAGAAGAAAAAGTCACAACAGAAACATCAATCAATGGTAGTAGTAATAGTAGTAGTACTACTAGTACTAAAATAAAAGTTGAAATGATATCAAATGAAAAACCGGACAGTGAATCAACAAAAAATAATCAATTAGCGACGATCGATGCTACAAGTAAATCATTACCAAAATATCCTGCTGTCTTTTCTCCTGAAGATATTCGAGAAAACATGGTACCTCTAGTTCGTCTTTTGTGTGAACAAGAAGAAGGCATGTGGTTTCGTCAACCAGTTACAGAAGCTATGGCACCTGGTTATTTTGATATAATTAAATTTCCAATGGATTTTTCTACAATACTTAAAAAATTAAATGAAAATCAATATTCAACACCATTTCAATTTTGTGAAGATATGTGGCTTGTCTTTAATAACGCCTGGTTATTTAATAAAAAAACCCACCGTGTATATAAAGCCGGTGTTAAAGTAAGTTTTCTTGTTACTATAATTTAACTATTCAAAATCTCAACTTTTTTGTTTTGTTTTATAGCTTGCTGACATGTTTATGGAAAATGTTGATCGAATGATGAAAGACTATGGTTATTGTTGTGGTCGTCAATATGTATTTGTACCACCAGCAATGTTTTGCTATGGTATAAGTGGCATTTGTTGTACAATACCACGCGATGGAGATTATTTTGTTTATAACAATCCTGATTCATCAAGAAACAATCTGTCGGGTGATAAATATACGTTTTGTAAAAAATGTTTTGATTCAGTCAAATCAGAATATATATTAGTTGGCGATGATCCAGCTCAAACATTAATTGAATTGCCTAAATTAGAATTTCAACAAGCAAAAAATGATCATCAAGAACAAGAACCCATGGTCGACTGTATTGTTTGTTCAAGACGTTTTCACAATATATGTGTACTTTATCATGAACATATTTGGCCAGAAGGTTACGTGTGTAAATTATGTGTACAACAATATAACATAAAACGAAAAGACAATCGTTATGTAGCACATAAATTAACAATGACGGATTTAGCTAATGCGTTAGAAAAACGTGTGAATGATTTTCTTCGAAACGAATGCGATCCAGATACAGGACGTGTTACAATAAGAGTTCTAGCTGCCAGTGATAGAGTATGTGAAGTTAAATCAAGATTAAAGAATCATTTTGGATCACAAATACCTGCTGGCTATCCATATAGAACTAAAGCCGTATTTGCATTTCAAGAAATTGATGGCATAGATGTCGTTCTTTTTGGTATGCACGTACAAGAATACGATAGCCGATGTCCAGCACCGAATGCAAGGTAACAGTTTTGTTTACTATATTAAATATTCATAAAAGCCTAAACAAAAATTATCGATGGAATTTATCTAAATAGTCGTATCATATTCGAGAGAGTTATATTAAAATATTAATTAACTGATATACATCACTCAACCAATAGCGACCTATAAGCTAATAGTCAATTGATAGAGAAACAGATTCTATTGATAAATATATTTATTGTATTGTTGAAAACTTATGACAAATTGAATTAATCAGAAAACATTTAGCGACAATCATGAGGTACATTGCCTGTAGGCCATTTGACTGATACAAAAAATAATATCAATTGAAAATTTACAATCGGTATCCTCGACGATACGCTTTTGATCTCATCTCTTTACAAAATGTATCTTGGAGCAATTTTTTCTTATGATTCTAATTTAATTTTCGTTTACTTTAGACGTGTATATATATCATATCTTGATTCTGTATATTATTTTCGACCAAAAGAAAAACGAACAGCACTCTACTATGAAATTCTTATTGGCTATCTTGAATATGTAAAACAATTAGGCATTGTTTATGCACATATATGGGCATGTCCGCCCAGTGAAGGCGATGATTATATATTTCATTGTCATCCCGCTGAACAACGTGTACCGAAACCGAAACGTTTACAGGAATGGTATAAAACAATGTTAGACAAAGCAATCGATCAGCGAGTTGTTGTTGATTATAAAGTTAGTTTTTTTCATCTGCTGTGAATTGATCTTACTATTGAATTTATATTTTCACTTTAGGATATAATGAAAGACTTTACTGAGACGGCTTTAAATAAAGTCACTGATATTCCATATTTTGAAGGCGACTTTTGGACAAGTACAATTGAAGATTTACTTAAAGAACTCGATACAGAAGAAGAAGATAGACGACGATTCGAAGAACTCGAATCAGTAAAAGTATCTGATGATGGATATTTTGATGATCTAATGGAAACTGAAGAGCCAACTGAAGTATAATAAATTTTTATAGAAATTCAGTTTTTTATTTTTCTCAATATTAGACATCCGATAAACGAAAATCAGGTAGTAGTACGACGCATAAAAAGAAAAACTTCAAAAAGACGACTAGTCAACGTCGAATGACTCGAAAAAATATGACAAACGGTAGTGATCTTATATCAAAAATTCATACGATGATGGAAAAACATAAAGAAGTAAAAATAAACTTGACCTTTCCTCTTACATAAAATAATGCTTTTTAAAAAAAAATAATTTCAGTCATTTTTCGTTGTTCGTTTACGAAATCCAATGTCAAATCCGGCAATATCAGTCGATACAGATCCATTGATACAATGTGATTTGATGGAATCTCGTGATGCATTTTTAAATTTTGCTCGTGAAAAACATTGTGAATTTTCAACATTACGTCGTGCAAAATATTCGACAATGGTTTCATTAATAGAATTACATTCATCAACAGCCGATAAAATTTCCTATACATGTAATGCATGTCGACAATTGTGTGATGTACGATATCACTGTACTGTATGTGAAGATTATGATTTATGTAGTAAATGTAATACAACGATAAAACATGAACATCGAATGGAGCGTTCAGATGATGCAAGTGAAGCAAAAGGCAATGCAGATACAACAGTTAATATTCAACAGCAAAGACAATTAGCCATGCAACGAACTTTAGATGCAATACGTCATGCGGTGAATTGTCGAAATGCAAATTGTATATTTAAAAACTGTGCTGTATGCAAAAGACTGCTTCAACATGCAAAAGAATGTACAAAAGCATCAAGAAATCAGTGTCAACTTTGTAATAAAGTTTTTTCACCTATTTGGCTTCACGCTAAAACTTGTGCGGATCAAACTTGTCCAGTAAGTGGAAGAATCGTTTTTATTGGATCATTTTATTTTATTTGATACGTTTTGTTTAGTTACCTTATTGTGCAACTTTTAAAAATAAACTTCAACGGCAAAGAGCAGCAACTATGCAAGCCGATCGAAGACGCGTTAAAGCGATGCATCGTGCTAAAATGGGACCAGGTAAATAGAAAATGTCACACAAATTTTATGCTCATGCATAGTAAAGTATTGAATACGAACATTATCATTAGCGTCAATGTTTCGGCAGTCTTTCTATTAGATTAGTAATGCTAATATTTCGATTGTTCACAAAATCGAAAAACATATGTGTTTTGTTGTTGAAAATAGAATTTCTACTGAGAGAGACATTGAACAATCTCATCGCGTTTTGTTGTTTTAGGCCCATCGCCGATTAGTTCACAAAATTCTGAATCAACAACATCTGGAAAATATCATCAATCAATGGAATCAGTATCTCCTAGTTCAGCTGGCAAAATGATGCCATCAGGTGGTAAAGGTAGTAAAGGTGGCAAACCTGCATCCATGAGTGGACTAGTTCGTACGAATTTAACACAACAACTGCCATCGCAACAGCAACCCCATTCAGCATATTATAATGGTGGTAAAGGTAATCCTAACGTTGGTAATGGAAATAACGTTGGATATTCAATGATGATGGCACACCCTCAACAACAGCCAGCACAACAACAACAACAACAACAACAACAATGGATGCCATCCCAACAGCAAGTTCGTTATCCATCACATGGAGGAAAACCAATTTCTTATGGTCAACAAAGATTACCTTATGGAAATGATCCATATATGATTAGACAACAAGCACCTCAAGCATCACCATATCAATACACGTCAAATATGGGTAAATCATCAATAATAGAAACTTCATTTAATACAGATGTATTTATTTCCTTTGTTTAGCTACGCCAGGCTATTCATATTCTCAAGCTATGGATATCAATTCGTTAAATGTAGTCCGTACGGGGAAACCAATGTTATCACAACAACAGCCACAACTACAACAACAACAACAACAAATGCCTAATCGATATCCAGTCAATCCATATTATAATCAACCGACACCGATGGGATATCCACAGCAATCACAAATGTCCTCAATATCAAATCGATCTCTTTCTCAAGGTACAAATCCTAATTATTCAGTATCATCAAACAGTGTTGTTATGAAATCGAATTCAATTGAATCGATGGAATTAAAATCAGAAGATTCTTTCGATGATTCATCAAAATTACAAATATCTCAATCACAACAACAACAACAACAACCAATGTTTCATCCTTTACTAACATCTTGTTCTCGTCCACAATCTTCGCCCTACTATCCAAATATGTCACCAGCAAGTAATAATAATAATTATTATTCTTCACAACGCCCATTACCACCGTCACCATCTGACTATAATATGAGTGCAGGACGTGGTATTCGAGTACAAAATGCACCACCAAATACTTATGGAGCATTGCCCGTTCAACAACGAATGTTTGTACCACCTCCTACAAGTGATCTTACAACAGGTATTATGAATAATAACACACTAGGACTTCAATCAGCATCATCTCCATCATCTCTAACACCTCATTAAAGCAACGTTTTCTTTATTTTGGTATTTATATAATCTTTGTTGTACGTTTTGTCTTTGTTTATTTTTCCAATTGATTTCTGGCCGACTGATTTTTATTCTTTTCACTAAATCGCTCATTACAGGATTCCGACATATAAGGAACTGTGGGATGATTCTTTCTTTTCGTTTCGTTTCTTTTGCTTTTATAAATTGATCTTTATCTCATATTTATTTGTAAGAAAATTTATCTCGTTCACTTTTCTTTTGGGTGTATGTATATTTGTTTAATGTTATTTTTAATGCGATATGAGAAAAAAGAAGAAAAAAAAATAAACATGAATTGTTCTACTTCGTAGTTTTGTTTTTATGACGACTGGTATACATTGTCTGTTTGCTGTGGTGGAACAAACACGGATTTCTTCTCTCTCTCTTTCTTTCTTTCTTTCTTTCTTTCGTTTGCTTTGTTTTTTTTTTATCAATTTTTTCTCATACTTTTCTTTGTCGGCTTCTATTTTTCAAAACAAATATCGTTGTTGTTAATGGCTATGTGCATTACGCTCTTTTCGTTGTTGTTTTGTTGTGTCTTTTGTTTTTTTCTTTCTTCTTGATTTCCACAAGGAGAATGAGGCCGTTTGTTAGTGTTTACATCATTCTTTTTTAAGAGTTTGAGCGTGCGCTATTGCCGTTTCAAACAATTTTCTCTTTCTTTCTTTTTCTACTTGTAACTTGTACTAATTATACAAAACAATAAAACCAAATGGTCTAATAAAAGAATGGAATCGAACAAATTCATATCAATAATCTGAAGAGATACTAGAAATTTTAAAAATAACTAAACCTAAACCCCGATCGACTAGCTGAATGCTCAACTAAATAAATGTTCAGCTTTTTCCCGTTCAATAGAGTACTATATTAACCCTTAACATCACTAGTTTCCTATGTTAGAAAGAAAAAAAGATGAATGGTAATGTTCATTGGCAAGAGTTTGTGCATATCCGTACTGTATAAACAGATGATGCTTGCGTGACGTGCAATATAAAAGTCATACTTAACATATTTGTTCATCAACTTTTGAATAATCAACCGAATTCATTGATTGGTACTGTACATGAAAGATTATCGAAGTCGACCAGCTAAATTATGAAGCCGATCACTACGAATCGGTTTCATAACTCTTATTATTTGAAGCGCAAGAAAATCAATTATTTCTAATCTTCGTGTTTTATGAAAAATACGTTAATCAGAATTCACAAAAAAGAAAATTGCATATTACATTGGTCTATTTCAGACTTCATCGACAGACAAGGAATTCAATCATGATGAAGAAAATTGATTTTTGAAAAATTTTGCAAGTTTATAATAAACAAAGAAGGCAGCGACAAAAGTTTATTGTATTTCATAATTGCCTTTAAGGAAATCGTCCACTTTGTGGTCTTTTAATTGTGGCTTTGATTCATAGGTTGCAATGACTATTTTAGATTTAACTTCCTACAAAAAAAGAAAGAAACTCTAATAATTGTATTGCAATAAAAATAAAAGGTAAAACATTCACGTACACCCAGAAATTCACCACGAAGACCAATATAATAGATGCGAGTTGTTTCATCACCGAAATTCGAAGGAAAATACAACGAGAGATGCGTTACACGCGAAAAATGCGCTGGACTGAAAACGAGGATTCGATTGAAAATGTTTTCTAAGAAAGAAAATATTTACTTGACTTGATAAGCTAATGTGCCCGATGGATCATATGTAAGGGAAATTTCTTGATGCTCTTTTCCGCGTGCATTCTCAAAACGCAATTCAGGTAAATTGCTCCATCTATTCATACATCAAATATGATATTTCCTACGTTAATGAAGTTAAATATTCACATACAGTTTAACTGTATTCGGATGCGATGGTCCGTTTTCACCAATCACACATAGACCTGTTATTTTCACAGCACCATTAAATGGTATACTGAAAAGTAATTCTGGGTCATCATCACTTTCAACTACCTATAAAATAAAACACTTTGATCCATTGTATGTCATTTGATTAGTCGAATAAAATCTACTTTTGATCGGTCAAGTCGTTCGTCCCATGCTCGAAATATTTCTTTACCTGAACCATCATGTTTTTCGTTGTAACATTGTAGATTGTATTTATCGATTTTCGTATGTAAATTCCATAGGCCAACATTTGTCTCATCGACATGTTGACAGGAACGTGAACATGAATGTTGCATAATTAATCTGAACAGAATAAAGATATCAAATGTTCTGGTATATTTTTATACCGAATGATTTATTTTATATCTTTAACAACAGATAGTACATCATAATACACAGCATGAAGGGAAACTATTGTTCTCATGAACGTCCTTTATGTTTTTTTTGTTGAAGTAACATACTACTTTCATCTCGTCGTCGTTTTGTCATCGGATTTCTTGGATCATAAACAGATAATAAATCAGCATTCGTATAAATATCTTGAACATTATCCAAAAGTTCGTCCGATACAAAACGATGTTTTAAGAACTCTTCTGGAACTTTATCATTTTTTTGTTCTCCTGGTGTTTCATTTACAGGTTCGCTGGCTGGATCGTCTTTAACAGCATGAAGTTTTGCACGAAACTTTGATAGTAGATCTAGAGTCTATAAGTAAAAAAAAAAGCAAACCGAAAATGTTTTACTGATCAATAACCAAGCAGAATTGCAAACAAACTTGAGATTCTCTTGAATTCGAATGGCTAACATGATTTTTTCTAGTGTTTCGTCTTGTACCAGCCATTAGTTCATCCATTAATGCAGAAGTACTTGCAGCAGCTGGTACTATGGGTGCAGGGGCAGGTACAGCTAAATTCGAAATAAAAGCATGAAATTCAATAACTATATTTTTATCCGAAGGTGTCAGCTTTAATAGAATCTATAAACTTAATTGTTCAAATTAAAACGTTTAGAATATGCTAAATATCATTGGATCTCGTCATTGATGACGTTTAACATCAAAATAGTATGATTTCATTTTTCTCAATCTGCTCTTCTATGATCTGGCATTCGCGTACATATCGCCTTATATCAGCAGAATGAGTTTTATCTTCATTTTGTTTTATTATCACGAATTTCTCTTTACAAATGAAATATTAGTTTGCAATTTGGTTATCATTGAGACTTGGCTATTGAAAAATAAACTGCGCATGTAACTTCGTTTATCAAACATTGCAATTAGTAGAATAATTTCAAGCTGTTTATGACTAACTTTTTGAATCTTTAGAATCTATCAAAGGTTCAGCTCATTTTCATATAGATACGTTATGCTTCACGAAAAGGAAGATTGAACATTTTGAATCATTCTATGGAACTACTTACGTTCTGTTTCTTCTGGAACACTTTCTTCTGATTGTTTAGTAGACGTGGATGCTTTTTTCGATTGTTTTAATTCTTTTTTTAATTGTTCGATTTCGAGTTTGATATTGTCACTTTAAGAAAAAAGAAATCGATTAATTTACTGCCAAAATTAGTTTTATAATTACGGTTTTGATGATGAAATATCTTTTTCGTCGTCATCTTCATCATCTTCTGCATCAAGTTTAACTGGTTTTTTCTTGTCGTTTTTTGTTAATTTTTTTTCATTAAATTTTCTTCGTACGCGATCGAGTTCTTCTTTATCGAAATTTGCATCACTTTTCTCTGCTACTTTTGGATTTTCTTTTTCGATAGGTAGTTCTTCGTCGCTTTGTTCATCATCGTCATCTAATCGGACTGTAGTTTTACTCAATGTTGCATCGTTAGTTAAATCATGTGCACTCTTTCCAGTTCCTTTTTGTTTTAATGCCTACCAATAAGAAATTCAGTAAACGAAAAAGAAAAGAAAATATGAATTTTTTACAATGGAAACTTTTGTTATTTCTTCTTCATCTTCTTCCGCTTCATTTCCAAATGAAAGTAGACCATAGTTTCTAACACAAAACAAAAGTTTGAAATTACGATGAACTTAACCGAAAAACAAGTTTACTTGATTGCTTTAGCATAAAAAGTATCTTTGGATTTTTTGTTCGTTTCATGATCATCAGTCACTTGCGGTTTAGCGCGAGGTCGAGCTTCCATATCATCAAATGGATTGGATATAACCTAGATATTTAGATATTTCCAAACCATGATTCCTTTTTTAATTTTAATATTAGCTAACCTCTGTTTTGATTATTTTATGTGCACGTACTGGTGCTTCACCAATTATTTCTCCTTCGCCTAACTTCAACATATTAAATAAAGTATTACCGACTATTTTGCCAAATAATGTATTCTTTTTATCGAGTTCCGGCGTACTACCCAATGTAAAAAAGAATTGACTATCATTCGTATTCGGTCCATGATTGGCCATACCGAGAAGACCACGACGATTAAAACGTAATCGTGTATGAAATTCATCCTAAATTCGAAAATAGAATGGCATGAAACTAGACTCAAATGAATACTTGCTGCAAATGCTGTGCCGGTCGCTGATTCGCCTCCTTCGCCTGTTCCAGTTGGATCACCACCTTGAGCAATAAAATTTGGTACAACTCGATGAAAAATAGTTCCATCATAATAACCATTCATACATAATTGAAGAAAATTTCGACATGCTAATGGACATTCCTTAGAGAATAGTTCCTAAACAAACAATTGATAATATTTATAGTTCATATTTTTCTTTACTAAATAAATCTTACAATTTCAATATCACCAACAGTTGTATCTAAAATAACTTTTCCACGAGTTGCCGGCTCTTGAATGTAAATATTACTCATCTAAAATTTAACCAAATGCCTAGATGTCATAATTGACTAAGTATAAAGATAGAAAGACACACAAAAAGAAAAACATTTGACTCTTATAGATCTGTAAAATAACTATCGTATATGAGATTCTATTGAAATCCATTTGGATTGTTTGATTGCCAACGCCATATATCTTCACCTATAAGAAACATAATGGTTAATGTGAGATACTAAGTTCCGTATCACTATTTTGTATGGACTTGTAGAATTTATGGTTACTTCTAGATTCTATGAAATGTTAATTTTAGCTCTTTGATGTTTGTTCAATTTCTCTATTACTTGAAAAAGTTTTCATAGTGATCAGGAAATTATTTCTAGTTTTCTACCCTGTGTGGTGACTCTGAGTATTATGGTTAAGGAAAAAATGACCTCGTTTCAAAATTATCTTCAAATCAAAACTTAGCTTACACATTTCATCTAGATCTCGTTCAGCTGTCCATCCGAGTTCTTTGGATGCTAATGTAGGATCAGCATAGACATTTGCAAGATCTCCTGGACGTCGAGGGCACGCTTTGTAAGGTATTGTTTTGCCTGATGCTTTTTCTAATGCTTTAATCATGTCTAACACAGAATAACCTTTACCAGTACCAAGATTATAAACCTAAATAATAATAACAAAACAATATATCAGCACAAAGTAATTTGCAATTCTAACTTTTAGACCACAATTTTTTTCAAACTGTTTGAATGCTGCAATATGACCTGTTGCTACATCAACGACATGTATGTAGTCTCGAACACCTATGCAAATATATATTCGTTGTTAATAATCCGGTTACTAGAGTTTGCTTTTCATGTACCTGTACCATCAGGAGTATCATAATCAGTACCAAAAATATTAACATACGGCAATCGACCAACAGCTACTTGTGCAATAAATGGCATGAGATTATTTGGTCTACCAATAGGATCTTCGCCAATTAAGCCTGTTTTATGAGCGCCAATTGGATTGAAATAACGTAAAAGAATGACATTCCATTCCTAGAAAAATTCACAACAATAAAATATGATATCGATTGGAAAATACGAACAGGATGAGCAGCTGTTGCATCTTTAAGAATATGTTCACATATATATTTACTTTTACCATACGGATTAGTAATATCATCGCCTACACATGGATGTTTTTCATCAATCGGTAAATATTTCGGTGGACCATAAACAGTAGCTGATGATGAAAGAATAAAATTCTTTACATTAAATTCTTCCATACACTAGATTGATCGAATCAAGACAAATAAATATTATATTATGAGAAAGACAATATTTACAGTGACTAAATTAAGTAAACAGCCAACATTATTGTTATAGTATAGAATCGGTTTTTCAACTGATTCACCAACTGATTTAAGTGCAGCACAATTAATAATTGCATAAATAGGATATTGTTTAAAAATACTTCTTAAACCTTCTAAATCAAGGCAATCCATTTTATAATTGATTATTTTACTTCCAGTAATTTGTTCAACTCGTCTTAAGCATTCTAAACAAAGAAAATCACTTTTGCAAATAACAGAATTTCTATTAGATAACTTATAAATCGAACCTGCCGATGAATTACATTCATTATCTAATACAATAGGAGTATAGCCAGCTGTAACAAGTTCAATAACACAATTACTACCAATAAATCCGGCACCGCCTGGTATAAGGACGTACTGATTACGTTGATCAACTATTAAGAGAAAAAAAACAAATTTCAAATATATTCGAAGCAGTCTTCTTAGTTTTGTGACGGGCTGTTTTTTTATTTATTAAAACATTATCGAACATGATTTTACTATCATTTTTGTTCTATTTAAGTTTCTTAAACAAATCTTGATTTCTATGCATAACAGAATCTCGCGGTAAGCTCAAAAACGTTCATTACGTAGAATTCTTCAAGTCAAACGTCAAGCTTTCCGATTTCTGCAGATGTTTATAACGAGATGAGTGAATGAACGAATATTTTTCTTCGATTGACTTGAGGTAATCTGATACTACAAAAGAAATCGCCATGTACTCATACGGATATAATGCAGTTTCATGGCTGCATTGTTAGATACTTTGTTTTCAGATCGATTGCAATTTTCTATCTCATTAGTGTACAAATTTTCTTTGTAGATAAGGAAATTTTCTTGCAATCCTGTAATCATATACTATTTGTGATTTTATTTACCAGATGTTGCTTTCATTATTTGACTTGTTAATGCACCATATTAATCTAAAAACCAATTATACACATAACTATTTGATTATTTCATGCGTAGACCTATTTGAATATTTATCAAATTATTTTATTATATTAAAGCTCAAGAAACACAAAAGAAGAAGAGAAAAGGGAATGCAGTAAAAATCGTTTATAAGCGTAAATAAAAAGAAAGAAAAAAAAATCCACAGACAAAAGTAATATGTAAGATCATAAAATTGTTTAAGATGTCCATTAGTTTTCCATGCACGTTACAAATTAACCTAGATAAATACGATAAACAACAACTACAATATGAATATCACTGGGGGCTTTTTTTATTTCCCAACCAAACAGAAAAAGAGAATCAAACAAACAAAAAAAATACTACTTAACATAACAGCCGTTCTCACCTATTCCATAGAAAACAAAGATCTTCTTTTAAAAAGAACCGAACAAACGCAAATAATTTGGAATGTCTTTAAGAAAAAAAGCCTCATATGAAAGCGCAGAGAAAAAACATTAAAATATGAATAGTCAAAAAGAAAAGAAAAACGAATTACACTACGAAAAAGAAAAGATAATGAAAACAATTTATTAAACATTTGCAGTAGGCGTTCCTGGTTCTCGTCGGGGTTGATTAAGAACATTAAAATTAACATTAAATACGATCAAACAACCTGTAGAAAGACCAGCCATGATATATCTAGATTTAGAAGAGAAAACAATAGAATTTATATTCGTAAAAATTATTTGTTAGCGATTCGACAGATTAAAATAATAGAAACGAAAACAAAAATGCCCTGAAAACCGGATCAGCAGCTCAAAATATAACTTGAAATCGAAACCGTTGAAGAATGAATAATCAAAACGAAAAAGAGAGTAGATTACTGAAATGTTTTCTTTTTCAAATTTTGTATTGAATGCATGTTGAACATTTTTAGATCTGTTTCGCTTATTTGGGATTAGACTGATATGTATACTCATTATTGACACTTAAAATATATTTCTATGATAGAAAGTCTCATGCAGAAAGAGAAGTCTTATTAAAAAAAGATCGCAATTCAATAAAAATCTATGTTTTATCCTTATCAAGTTTGTCTTACTTTTGATCGTGAGTTATTGCTAATGAACGAATACTGGCATCACATTGCGGATAAGCATAAACAGGCTGCAAATCATGTGTTCGGACAATTTGTACAAAACCTCGATCACCGCCAATTACCGTATATTGACTATCAGCATTTAAAACCATACTCTAAAGCACAAAAAATTGCCTTCTTTTTTTTTAAATCAATTTCGTTATTTTACTTGAATAGTTTCATCTTCAAATATAGCTTGTCTCATTAATTTTCCATTTAATGTATACAAACATAATTTCGAACGATCATAACAAACAATAATATCACCATCATTCGATGGCGATATAAGGCGTGGTGTCGATAGTTTCGTAGGATTTTCAAATGAACGTAATATATCACCATTAAGTGTATGTTGAAGTACAAGGCTTTGTTCGCTACCACTTAAAACAATACCAAGCTCTGCTGATATCCATAGACATGTAATTTCTGTATCGTGACCCGTTAAAATTGCAGCTGGCGATGGATTTATTTCTAGACGAAAATGAAAATGTATGCATAGTTTTTAAATTTAATTTAATTCTAACCTTGATTTGGATATTCCCGATCGACTATTGCACATTTTGTTCCATTCCATATCCAAACGCAAACTGTACAATCGCGTGAACCAGTTGCAAGAAAACAATTTCCCGCGATAGTTATCTCCGAACGGCATACACATGTGACAATATCAAAATGTCCATAGAGTACTTGAGTAATCTTAGCCATATCAGTATTTTGTACGCGAAAACTTTTGTCCCAATAGCCAGTAGAAATGATATGCCGATTATCGGCAGTAACAACAAAACTTTGATGTCGTTGTTGAATACGTTCATCAAAATTATCACCCAAATTACGGCGACTCAAGTTTAAATTTGATACTAAACAAAAAGATTAGCATTAGAATAAAATCTCCAGACTAACGAAAGATGTATCTTTCGATCGAAATTTTACATAGCTAGGCAAAACACATAAATGATCAAAGGTTAATCAAAGGCCATTTTTTTTACTGTACCTAAAATTGAATCCATGCTTAACGGCAATTGTGCTTGTTGTTGAGTAGATGATTGTGATCCATCTGAATAGGGTTGGGTTGATCCACCAGCATTCGAATGGTATTTGTTTATAGAAAAATCATGTTTATTACTAATTGTAACAACAGCCTGTATCGAATGTACTGGATTTGTATTAGCAGAAACGTGAATAATGGGAGCGTTCGACGAAAATTTCATTATCATTGATACATCTTCTGGTGAACTAGAAAAACACAAGATATTTTGCAATGATTTATTTCATTTTGTTTTACGAAAACTACTTACACATTGTACATCATAGGAGTCTAAAACATCAAGAAAGAAAATTATACAAAAGGAAAAGAAGAAAATATCGATTTTATTCCTTACTAAATTCATTGCTGAGTTTCTTGGTGGATGTGGTTCAGTTAAGAGTTGTGATGGCGCTTGACCAAAATTTCTTATTTGCGTTTCAATAGCAGTACGATCGGTTGGATTTGTTATAGAATCAAGATTAACTGTACCTTCATAAGTTAAATAATAGAAGACATTAACTGCACGGACAGCTTCAGGACCTAGAATACCAGATTTCGCTTTTAATAATAGAAACGGTTTTTTATCATAACAAACCTCTTTGTTTATAACCAAATATCAAGTCAATCCAATGATGTAAATGACATGAAACAAATTCTGATTCCAATGCCTGAAATAGATTTACAAAAAATAGAAGTCTCATTCTTAAAAAGATATTCTTGGGTCTTACCGCTCGATTGATTCGAATGAAATCTTCTGGTGTTTCCGCCCATTTAGGTAAAATAACATCATCAACTTTCAGTCCGTCTTCTGTTCGGCCTAATTTATAATGATTACAATTAGTAAACATTTCCGGTAGAGAAAAGAATTCCGGTATTAATTCTTTAACATCAGACGAATCACGTTGACAATTTTGCCACGAAACTGGAATCGAATGAAATACTCGATTGGCATGATCGAATTTTCCTTCTTGTAAATTCAAATAAAACGTTGTAAACGGTTCCTGAAAACAAAACATAACAAAATCAATATTCGATGATGTTATAAGTCACTTCACTGACCAATCGAATGAGCCAACTGAGTGTAAATGCTGCTGTTGAATAATGTGTACCGTAATGGAATGGTGGCATTGTATCTGATTCCCAATTATTATAACGTTCGATAAAAAATGCTTTTCTTGTTGGATTCAATGCTCCGACAGGCTAAAGAAAATTAAGAATGGTTCAGTTAGTATAAGGTTTGTGAGGTAAAAATGTAAATCACAATCGAATTATTTTTACTAATTACAAGGAGATTGTACGAGTTAGCTGAGTGAAGAAAATCGATGCTAAAAAATGCCTGTCAATATGAAGAGTCTATAACGTTTAAGAAGATTGCTGGTTCACTCAATCATCTTAGTACTCGAATGCCTTTATTTTCAAGCGGAACTTGAGTGGATATGAAATCGAAGAATTCTAAATATCTAAATTGACGTTCCGAAAAAAAGCGAAATTTTGCTTTTCCCTATCTATGAGTCCTTAGAGAATGCCATAAAAAAAAGTAGTTTATATAATATTTAATCGCGTTTTACAGGGAAAAAACAATATTTTAATTACTTTAGACAGATCTCGATAGGTTGTTGGTGAATTTAAATCAAGTTTTTCACTTTCATAATCCGCTATAATCCATGGAAATATTGGATATTGATTTAAATCTTGATAGGTACGACCTAAATACGATTAATAGCATACATTTCATGTTCATCTAATCTTCTTTGAACTCACCTGAGATAGTATTAAGATATATGAGATATTCAAAATTTGAAATTTCTCGTCGTTGCCATCGTTGTGTCATATTAGCTGAACGAAACAATTGTTTCGGTGACGCTAATGCCGTTCGTCTAATTAAATTTAAAAACAATATGAATTATAATTAATGAGGAAAGAAATATCGGTGATCTTACCGTTGTTGTGGTAATCCATAACGGCCACCAACGCCAACTCGAGGTAAAAAGTTTACAACTTTTTTAACAACTGAGCGATCATTAAATGCAAACATAACGCTCGCTAAAATGGAAATACAATTTTTGAGCACTTTCTGTTCCATAAATCTTATCTATCCTAATTATCAAAACTAGAATTCAATCTTTAGGAATGATTTTCTTTTGTAGCTAAGTTTTGAAAGTAAGAAAAAAATAAAGCTATATAATTCATACTTCTATTCGAAACGAATATTTCTAATGCTTTTTCTTGTAAAAGATATCTTCTGGAAAATATGGCACGTATTTCGGTAAAATGCCATTTGCCATGAAGATTATCAATATAAGGAAACATCTAAAAAAACGAAATTGATTTAGAATATTGTAATATATGTATATATTATTCATTTACTTTTGCATCGAATTTAGAAAAACTATCATCGTATTCATCAGCATCAAATAACATGGCGTTATGTGTGAGAGCTAAAGCTCCATGTACAACAGCTGTACCACAGATAAGTGAACATTCAGTTGAGAATCGTATTGGACCAGAAAAGTCATGATCAAGATCTTTTTCATCGACTTGTAACATGTCTTCTTCGTCAGCTGTTGTTTGATTAAAATTTTGTACTTTTTGTTGTTTTAATTGTTTTAATAAATTTTCTTCTTGAATAACACCCGTAATTAAATCATCATTCGTGCCATTGAATGATGATTTTTGTGTTGCCTCGCTATGAATTGTGCCATGTAGATTACGTACTAAGCGTCGTCGTCGTCTTAGATCATCTTCCCATGGGTCTAATTTCCAAAACGGACGTGAACTATTTAAATAAGCAGTTTTATCATTGATCATCATCGCTAAATATTTCTCTTGTAAACGTGATGCAATAGCTTGATGTCGTTGGCGTGCTGCAGTTATAAAATGTTCACATAGTTGCTCTTCGCCTTTACGTTCAACAGTTGTCTGTGCTGAAAGCTGTTCGAATTCACTTGCCTTACGTATATCATCAGCACGCATACGATTAAGAATAAATTCTGCTTCATTAGCAACTTTAACAACATGATCTTTACTTGCATGAGCAAGTAAACGACCTTCGTTGACTAACTCTATAAAAGCTAAGCCAGCATGTTTCTGAAATCAAATGAAATAGTTGTACAAAAAGAAAGCAATCAGCAAAGGAATTTTACTTGAAGAGAATTTTGCCATTCTTGCGAACATAAAAGCATGACAAGTTCTACAACTGATGCTGAGTGTTTGAGAGCATGTAAACCATTGGGCAATAGCTCTTGACCATGTGAACCGACCAATGTTTTCGTCAGTATATGTGAAAATTCCGTAAAGATATCACGTAAAAATGGTGCAATGTTCGATAATGCTCGTTCTAATTTTTCAGTTATATTCATCGATGATGACGCTGATGATGCTGCTGCATTTGAATTAAAATTTGCTTTTGGATACTCGGGAAGTTTCGATTCTGGTAATTCAGTTTTACTTATTGCTGGCTGATTGCTAGTAGGAATACTGGCAATACTTGCTAAAAACATAACCGAAAATTATAATGACATTTGTATAAAAACAAAAATTCCCATCTGAACCCAATCAAAAAGTCACTTTCTCTTCGGCTTGTTTTTAAATCTCAAAAATAAACTCAAATCAGTAAATTTCCTTTTGATCCTAATCATAAATCATAGAGTTCATATAACAAAACTATGACAAGCGTCTGACTAAGACAAATATTTCTATGTAAACATATCAACCGATAATGGGAAACAGCCGTTTTCATTTCTTTAATTGACAAGCATATGTTAGTCTTGTTCCTTAATTAACTCATCACTGATCTGGCGAAAAACTCCGGTTAGTCGATCCTACTCTATGTAAATTATCATTCTACATACCATATTGAGTAGAAGTAGCGCTTGTATTATTTAAATTCGTAGCATCTTGATCGGTTGCTTCTGAATCTACTTTACTAATTCCACTCGTTTTATCATCAATGACTCCTGACTCGTCAGTATCCTTCTGCAAAAAAACAAAAAAAGAATTCAAACAAAACATAACTCATTTAGCAAAACTCTTACATGATTAGTATCATTAATCGATGTTGAATCATTAAGACTACTTGTATCCGCATTAACGTCACTTATCGACGCTAAACAAAAATTATAAATCACAACTAATCCCAAACTCGATTATTCCTACCTTGTCGATAGCTAGGTGTTGCACTGATAATAGATGTTTGTCGAGATAAATTTGTTTGATTTGTTTCAATTATGTCTCGATATCTTGATACCATCAATACTGATGCAAAATAAACAATAGCTAATGCTAAGAATTGCGATTGTTTTGTATCATCCTAAGAATACAGGAGAAATTTAACATGATGAAATAATTATTCTTATCTAATTAGCAAAAAGATATGAAAATTAGTATAACAAAGAAGAACACATAAAGCAAGGGACAAAAATAGGGATGCTTGATTTACCACGACAACGACAATGCCTTTGTTCGATTTAGTGCGATCTTGTCTTACCACATCACGATAGATGATAGCACGCAAACGTTGAATATCAAGTTCTTGTAAAACTGATTCAGGATTCTTTATAAACGATGCTATCAAAAGTGAAATGTCATCATTTTCATCTTCACTCTCATTTTCGGCTTCGCTTGTATTCATTAAATAAGTTAATTCAAGTATTGTTTCAAGTGGATCTTTATGTACACCTTTCGCTGCTGATGGTGATAGAGTCGGAAGTTTTGATGAATCAAATTTTTGAAAACGACATTCCATACAATTGCGAACAGCAGTTGTCATGGCTAAAAATTCGATACCCATCAAAAATCGAATTTTTATAAAAAATAAAAACTTTCATACTTAAGCGAAGACATTGCCGCAATATACCACCACTCGGCATACTTTTTTCTTGTTCCAGTTCAGAAAAATTTGCAGTACTACCAAGTATAAATAAATCCGATAAGCCCATAACACGTTTTAAAACTCTTAATGCATCTTTAGGTGATAAACCTTCTGTATATTCTAATAATTCAATTTCATGCTAACACAACAAAAAAAAACGAAGAAAACATTCAGAATCTAATCAGTATAAACTTTCAATACATACAGAGGCTGATGTTGCACTAGCAAGTAACGGTAAAAGACCACCAGATGCATTACATAATACATCGGCCATTTGAGAAATAATATGTACAACATTAGCACAAAATATTTGATTATCAGGATTATTGATTGATTCAGTTATGAGTTTAGTTGTATCTCTAGAACAAAAATAAAACAGTAAGTCATAGCAGAATTGAATTTTTTTTGCAAAATTTACGATCTCCATAAACGAATATCAACTTCGATCGAATCAAAAACAATATTTAAGAGACGAAGATGCATGGGTGCATATTTAAATTCTGATATTGTATATGGCGGTAATTGTTTTGACTTGAAGACTTGACGACTTGTTGTTGATTCTAAACATCAATGAATGAAATAATTTAGTCTGTAACTTGTGCTGATTTAGATTTAAAATGAAAGACGCTATTTTATATATAGTTATTGCTTAAAAGTAGATTAGACTGAATACTTGAAATACTTGCTTACCGACCAGGTTTATAGTCAACAACAAGAGCAGTTTAACTTACTAGTCGGTGTTGAGATTGATTGTTCATCAACTGGAGATTGAGAGCCAGTGGGTGTTCTTGGCTGTATAATTCATAAATTGAATAATTATACGGCTATCGGAAAACAAAACTTACTTCATCTTCATCATTATCTTTCATATTTTCAACCATTTGATTAACTTTTCGATAGTAATCTTCTTTAGTTATCTACGAAATTCAGATTAAAATTTGAATCATATTTCTATGAATTATGACTTTAGTTTACTCGTCCATGTAGAATTGAAAGTGTATCAATCCAAACACGCCATCCACCATATTCAAATTTGATTGCATGATGCAGTAAAAGTTTTAATAAATCAAAAACTCGATCAGTTATTTCGATTTGAATTTCTTGTGTTGGATAAACATAAGCAAGACCAAACAAATAATCTTGCCAAACCGACATTTGTAAAATCGTTCTTAAGAAATCGTAAATCATTCAAAGTCCGGATACGAGAAAAAAGCTCTATCTCTATTACCTTCGATTATCTCGACTTGCTGATGCAAGTAAAATTAAATCATCAAGAAAACGTAATTTTATATCGTACTGATGAATATTATCAGATGCATGTCGAAGTAATGTCGCAATGACTTTGATCATGGCTAAAGGTAATATTAAAACATTTTCATTCAAATCAATCGATTATAATATATTCAATTTTTCGGGAAAAGAATTGAGAAAGATTTTTTCTTCTTGATATAATCACAATGAAAAACAAGAATGATTTTTGCAAGTGGCATAATCAATAGTGTGTTCACTTACGAGGATACTATCTGAACTAGGAAAGTCTCAATAAGGTGGCTAGAAGAAGTTTCGAATCCATCGTTAAAGTATTCATAGAATAGCATACCTGGATTTTCAATTTTCCAATCGGGTGTAATTTCTGAAGTTCGCTTTTCGACGAGTAATCCGCTCACTTTTTCCACAAGTATCTATTTACGAGAAACGTTCAAATTCATATTATCTATTATATTGTCGTCTTACTTCAAATAAAACATTATACGTAGCCATTGTGAAACTATTTGGATGCAGTAAAAGTCTATCAGCCAATAAAGAAAATAGATTGTGTGGCTGCATTGCATCAGTTTTTCGTCTACAAATACAAAATAAATTAGAATCGTTTCTTGTTTCGTTGGTTATTAAAAATTAATCTGACAAGATTTCCGTTCATAATCCAGTCTTATTAAAAACGTCTGCAGAATTTACTATTCTTTTCGAGTATGATTAGACAATTTATTTTAGGCTCGTTATTGTAGTTCATGCGAGCTTGAATAGGCTTTAACTTAATGCGAAATGAGTTCTACGGAGAACAGACTTGTGCAATGCACTCCGTGAGATTATAAAATAATTGTAAAAAATAGTTGCCTTTTAACGCTATTCAAAGCTTTGAAAGTTGGATAGATAACTCTTTCGCCAGAAGTTGTTAAGTGTTGAACCCATCTTCGAAAAAAAATGCAATCCTACGAAATTCTTTCAGAAACTGGTAGACGAATGAATGTCTTCTCAAATTATGTTTCTATACAGCCCTGTATAAAAAGATGTTGTACGTACTTTACTGTACTTCTTTGAAGAAAGAATCCCAATAGTTTTAAAGCTTGTAAACGTGTGATCTCGCTACTGCTTGCCAATAATTTGAAAACCGTTCTAAAAGAAAAGAAAACTAACGTTTCAAAAACAAAAGCCTCAATTCTGATATTACTTTAATCCTTGTCGGCGATCGAATGCGGGTACCATTGCTCTTGGATATTCTGACATAAGATTGACAGTCGTATCCAAAACATCAACAAGATTGTCATCCTAATTAAATAATAAAATGTCTAAATAAAATGAAAATTGTTAATCATCCTACTTCATGGACCGTGTGAAGATAATTAAGAATTGCTTGAAGTTCTTCTTCTTGAGTACCAGAACTACTGATAACAAGTTGCTTTAAATAGAGTAACATATAACGTCGCATTTCAATAATTTGTTCACGTGTTGGTCGATTTCCATCTAAATTTATTATTAAATTCAATCCTTAGAGAAGAAATCTCCATCTACCTGAACCTTTTGGTTTGAAACCGCTTCGATGACTTGGATCAACAACCCAATAGAAATATTTTATTGTATGTAATGTTTGAATTATTTCACTGATCGGTTGAAGTAAATGATATATTTCAGAATAAGCAACGAATTCGATTGCTAAATATGTGTATAAACGCATTTGAACCTAAATAGAAGAAAAAGATCACATTGTTTATCTCGACAAACTCGAATATATCAATGAAGAAATGCATACATCAACTGAACAATAAATCCAAATGGCAGGATTGAAAAAAATATGAACAAATAATTGTTTCAATAATAATGGACTATTTTTGCTTTCGATTTTGACAAAGAATGTTGTTAAAGATATAAGAGAATTGAGAACATCCATGCTGATATGTTGCCTCGATGCCTAAAAAACAATTAAAAATAATTATCTCCGAAAGATATTTGATAGAAATTTTTCTCGCAATGATTTGAGCAGAATCGTGAGTGCTAGTCGGACGAGAAAATGAAGCTATATCAACGTCATATAACTATCCATCTTTCTTTGTTCGTAAAATAGAACAAGAGTTCTTTGTAAAAATTAACAATCTGCTGTTGTTTTCTATCGTACGAAAAAACCAACTATCGTCCTTGCAATCATTCTGCAAGGTCGATTGTACTTGACATCCTGACTCTGTCCCAATGAATCTAATTTTATTTCAATTCGAAATGGCCGTTATTAAATTAACTTGAAAACAGATCTCAAGAGAATTCACAATTAAGGATGAAAAACATTTTATTTTTCATTCAAGACTTTTTAACAATTTTTCTGCCGTTTCATTTAGCATTTCGTCCTTGAACATTCTGTTTTATTTCTCATTATCGTTCGAACAAGTCTATCCTCTTGGTTTATCTTTATCTTTTGTCATGGAGTCAATACGGGTACTTTACATAATATGTTTTTCTATTAAATTAATACCTTTTCAAGATGATATCCAATGGCGAGAAAACCTTTGGAATTAAGCATTTGATGTTGAATTGTATATGATCGTTCAATTAATTCGCACAGAGTAGAAAGCAATATTGAGCAAACATTATAATTAATTGAGCCGTCAGCTTGTTGATGATCTAATTGACCGAATAATGGGAAAAACACTTGTATACCACCCACACTGTGTAATGTTGAATAAATTGAATATGTTATTACAGATCGAACATTGCTTAACATTTGAGCATGAGCGGTATGAACGAAATAGGAAACATTTGTTTTCGGTGCAGCTTGTAAAACAAGTTTTTCTTCGCATGCGACAGGATTATAATTAAATACGATCGAACTCATTAGTTTTCCATCATACATCGATTTTCTTTGCGAATCATTTAGAACATGAGCACTTTCATTTTCAAATTTAAATTGATTTTTATATGCTGGTCCTAATTTATATAAACCTTGAACAATTAACGGTTCGAGATACAGACTAAATAGATAGAACGTTGATAATTGACCAGAGAAACTTGTTAGATCACTACGATCAGGTGTACAACCAATATAACATTTATCAAATAAATCAGCACTTTCAATACTCCACGGAAAAAATGTGTTGGAAACAAGTTGACCATTTATATAACAATGAATACTACTTTTACTCCATCGTTGATAAAGATGTGTGAATGTTATCATATACCACTAAACGAAAAGAAAACAATATTAATTAATTCATGATAGAAAGCTATCAGCTTCAATATTCGAATGATAAAAGATGAATGTAAGATACTCAGAATGGGAAATTCGAACAGCAGCGTTCGTTTCTTGCCTCGTTACTTCTAAAAGTGTCGTGTTCAGAATGAAAACGATGTGTTTGTGGTTTTCTTAACATTTTTATTTTGGTGTGAAACATTTTGAATATGTCCGTGCTAAATATAGTGAAGATCCTATTCGGTAGGCTAGAGTATTCCGAACAAAATGTGGAAATTAACTTCCAAGAGTAATCTGATACAAAAAAAAAACGTAAATATGATTCTCTAGGAGAAGTTGTAGAAAACAAAATGAAACCCTTGGAAGTCCTATCGACTTTTTCTTCTTTGATTCTAGTTCAAGGTGAGATAAAAAGAAGCCGAACTCGATCAGTTTACGAATAGAAAATGAAATGATCTCAAGAATTCAATACAAACTTCTCGTGGTTTAAATTCAAATTGTATGCAGTGTTGAAAAGCTTTTTCTTTTAATTTTGAATACGAAATAACTAAACAGTTTCCAACAAAATGCGCTGTATAACCATGTCCTTTCGAATTGCAAAACCAATATAAATATGGCTTTTCTTTTTCAATAACACCATTAGCAACAGGATCAATACGAAACCATGTTGATATCGTGAAACCATTTTGATACGGCCAAAGTTTAATTGGTGGTAAAACAATACCAGAACCATTTCGGCCAGGAAAATTAAAAAATTCATCGGGTCCATATCGGTATGGAAAATTTTTAAAGATGTTCAACAATTTTACTGCATGTTTTTTCTGTGAACACAAAAAAAAAGATAATTGTTTTCATATATGAAAATAAACATAAGAATTTCGCATACCCATGTACGATTTTCTGTTTTAAGATAATGCAACAGAATTTTCAGTTCATTCACATTAACTGTTAAGGATGTTAAAACTGTTAGAATATCAACTAATAGATCAGCAACAACATCGTCATCAATCCTATTTAAAAGTTCTAATGCTATGCCATAGATTTGTGCATCGACTGATGCCAACAGATTGCGTTCACTTTTTCGCATGACACCAATTATTACACTAAGTATTTCAGCTTGTAATGATGAAGACATTTTATCAAAAATAGTAAATAATTCATAGAACTTTTTTGGTTTTTGTATAATATAGTTTTTATCCAAATCAAAATCGCCTTCGACAAGCTAAAATTAAAAACTCATTGGTAGAAAAAGAAAAAAAATTCATTAACTTACTGTATTCAAGATAGTTAACGATGCGTCTTTATTCGATTTACCAGCGATCGTTTCCAATAGTTGATGGGTATCATCAGATTGATTCAATGATTCCAATTGAACAGTATCGCTAGTCGTATTGTCATCTTCGGATAGAGGTAAAGCAGACGAATTCTCTTCAGATACAGTTGCTGCTGTTGAATTTTCTCCTTCTTCGCCCTCTTCATTGTTGATATCAGTGGATGGAATTTTTAGAAGATTGTCTTCGTTATCACATGTCGATAGTGGTGATGATTGAGTTTCTAGTTGCTTATCATCGATGGATGATTCTATTTTTTGTTCGTTTTTAGATGAATGTAATGGTTGATCGATTTCTTGCGGTATTTCATTATTATCTTGTTGAACTTCCTCATTAGAATGAATATCTTTATTATCGTCGACTTCGGTGCTCATTACAATCTGAAATAGATAAATTGAATGTCGACAAGTATTTGTATCTATTTTTTTTATGAAGGGTGAGTATGGAAAAAGAAGCCATCAGTTTGATTTAGTATAATAGACCTACTTGTTATTTTTTTTCTCCTCCTCCTCCTCCTCCTCCTCCTTTTCTTCTTTATTGTTAGCTTCTATTGATGCATTTCTTTTTTCGCTCGCTTTCTCTGCTCTCTTAGTATAAACGTACGTAGCTCGCCGATTACTCAGTTAGTGAAATACGCTTGGACGGGACACGTCGCGTCGTAGAAACATAGAATAGTATAGTTGATTGACACTTTTTAGTCTGCCAATTAGATTTAGTCAAACTCCTCTGCAAAAATTAGCCATCGGCAATGAGTGACATCTTTGAACTAAAGCGAATATTATAAAGGCTGCATATTGTTCAAAACCTCTCGTTGATAGCATGGATATCAATGATTCTGGGAAATGTGATTATCAATTTTAGTTTCTAGATATGATCAGCAGATCTGTAAGTTTATAGCAAGTAAACATTCCAACATGACATGTGTGAGTGTTAAAAAAAATGAAGAGCTTGCGCTAACAAACAACTTGAGTCGAGAGAGAGAGAGAGAGAGAGAGAGACAAATAAAATATACGAGAAAAAAACGCAGAATTTTAACAATAACAACTGAACCAAAAAGTAGAAACTTGTTTATATTTTCGATTAAATTAATTGAATCTCAAGAATTCGCCTTTCAAACTCAACATGAATCCAACCAAGTTTTTTTTTACACTTTCTGCCATCCAATTTAGCATCTAAGCACCAGTAGAAAAATTTACAATGCAAAATAATTTCATTATTGTCCGTCGGTGTTGCAGCCATCGCATACTTCATTTATGATGCTGTATTTGTATGACTATTGGTTTTACAAGGACAAGTTTTCTTACACTTTCATAATTATCGATATATGATTATTCGCGCATCCATCAAATTTAATCAGTCCTTTCTCGTGAAAAAAATAGTCAACAATAGTTAGCCAACGCCTGACTATATCATATCCCTGCTATTGTAGGTCTAATGTAAAAAAAATAGAAATATAAGTCAAAAAATTTCTGTCTTAATATATACCAATGTCATATCAAGGCGATAAGACGAATCGACGATAGAAGGAGTCAAAGTTATGGTATCTAAAATTTACACGAACATATGATGAAGGCCAACAGCTAACAGCTTGTATAGAATTCGTGCGATATGGAGTAATTGAAGTATTGTTCGGTTCTTTGTTTAGTAGTGCTAATCAAAGAACTATTCATAATGATCTTTAACGAATTGACTATAAAAATTGAATTGTTCTACCAGAAAAAATCGACGATTTTTTTTTAAACTGATATTTACTAATTATGAATTCTAAGATATATATATATCAAAAGACAGGTTTTTATTCAGATGCATTTATTTTCTATTCAATCATTTCATTTTACTTGTATTCTTCACACAGAAACATGACATTGGTATGTAAAACGATGAATAATTATTCGAAATAATTTTTTTTCTGAAAAAAAAATACATGACGTCATTGATACATGTCTGTCCTTGAAATCTACCGCTTATGACTATCTCTTATATTTGGAGGCTGTTGAGTCTAAAACTTGTGAATCAGGATCCGATGTAAACTAATTATAACGCACGGATGAGCTATGGAACTCTCTGTTCACAACAAATATCGTCGAACATCAACACATTTTACCTTTGAAAAATTCTCTGTACTCAAAATCGACTATGATAAAATCTTGTCCAGTCAATTTTCTTATTATTGTTTTAAATAATATTTACTATTTTCTGACCAGTTTTAACTTCATAGTTCACGTCTGAAACGTAAGCCTGTAGAGAAAAAAAAACGTGTTAGTAATTCGTCATAGATTTCCTTCCATAGATAAAAGACACTTTTCCTGCTCTTTGTCTGACATACTCTATGAAAGGTTACATTAACAAAGCATTTTATTTCTATAAATGCTCGTAATTCAATTGAATTCATCAAATCACTTGAGGGAACAATTCATTCATTCACTAATTAAATTAGCTCAGTATTCAACTTTTTTAAAACATATGGTGACCCATTGATTTATTTTTTGTTAAATTACAAAAACCATGTCTATCATGGTTATCTTTAAATATTAGTATCTCTCTCTCTCTGTACAATTTATTCAAAAAAAAAAAGAAAAGAATGGAGATTCACAAATAGATGAATGCTTTTAATTGACTCCGCCAGTCGAACGTAGTTGTTGAAGACTAGGACGAGTAGCTATTGATGATCGAGGCTGTCGTCGATTATTCAGTCTAGGAAGAAAAAACAGCAGCGCATATTTCATCCGAGAAGAAATGATAAGAAAACTTACTTGATACAAATTGCTTTTTCTGCAACATTAGTCCATCGTTGTCCACTATTGTCTTCAAAAGATACGCGTACATGAATATTGTAATTTGTAACACTACCAAGATGTAAGATGAAACCAGCATGAAATCTATTATCTTTTAATTCTTCATTTAAAATCACATTCTCGTAATGATCACTTTCACTGTCCATCATTTTTGAAAGTGTTGAATCAGCTGAAAAAAGTGATGCTTTAGCTCCTCGATAGGAATCATCATTTGTAATCTTAAAAAGGAAGCAACAACATCGGCCATCGGTATAATAAAATATAACTATTGTAAATTATTACTTGATCCAGTACGGGAATTTTCGATTTGTTTTTTTTATTCATCTGTTGACTCGTTAAGACTTCGACAAACACTTGCTTTACAGTACGCAATGGTAAATGATGATATGTAGCATCGATTTCACCATGAATTTGAACAGGTAGTAATGCATCAGATTCATGTACAGGACGATCTTCATTTTCGTTCGGCGATACAACTAACTAACAAAAAAAATAAAAAAAAATCATTTTTTCTAAATTACCATTCATAGAAAAATTATTTTCGTACTTTAACAACAGTGTGTTGCAGTTTTTGAAAGAACATTCGTGGAATAGGTGGTGGAATTGTTATCAATGAACTGGTTAAATATTGAAGAACAGCTAATTCCTAAAGCAATACAATGCAAATTTGGAAAGCAGCATCAAAGAGAACATACTTCATCGATATTAGCATTCTTTTTCGTTGTTTTTTTACTCTGTAATCGAATGCATACAAAATCGACAACGTGTCGAAAACGAATAAACATTTGTTCAGTAAATCCATCACGCCAAGACATCTCATTAAGTCGATCTTCCCAAGTAGTTTTATCGAGTCTAAATAAATGTCTCTGGAAATATATGTGTCTTATGGCAAAAAGTTCTCTTACGAAACATGCCGAACAATTCGTTCGATAACAGCAAAAATAAAATCACAAAGAAAGCGATTAAATGTCAGACACCATAATGTTTGAGCATCACCATCGAAACATGATTGTTGGATATCATCGATTTTTGAACTAATCGTTGAAAAACGTTGAGCCATAATAGAAAGCTGAAACAAAATTTTTTAGTGAAAATATTTACAGATCATTTAAACTAGTCGATTTTCGAACACGACATTCTAACTTAAATCTCGAACAACAATTTGCAACTTATTAAAAAATAGAAAGTTCTTTCATTTTACATTTTGAAAAAATTAAATTACAGAAGAAGTTTTTCTTGCCACGAAAATGATACGTACCATTCGTTTTCCAAGTAAATCGAAACTAATCATTCCTAAATCATATTGATATATGACATGAATTAGTTCATAAAATTGATGAATTATCGATGACCGTATATCGCAATAAGCACGTTCGAAATCAAATGTTGCATCTATGGAATGTTTATTGTCATCAATCGATACTGTTGTCTAAAAGAATAATGATTACGTAAAACTTTCGTCTCAAACACAATCATCATATTCTTACAGGCATTTTTATCAAACTTGATTCGTAGAACGAACCAGCTTCAGCAATATTTTCACATAAAACTTGTAAATCATCTTTCGAAGAATTCATTGTTGTTTGTAATCGTTCTTCGGCACGACATATGTCCATTAATGTTTGAAGCCATATTTCATGTATTGATATATTCACACAATTAATTACCATTTGTAATAGATCGATAGCTAATTTAAATAAACAATGTCTTATACACCAGCGAGCAAGTAAAAAACATTTCCATGGTGAAAGTTGTTTAACATGTTCGTGAATTTCGTTGATATCATTTGGATTTGATAGAACAAATAAAGCAAGTAGATTATACTTAAAACAAAAAGGAATCGAATGGCAAAGTGAAATTTTCGTCGAAAGATTAATTTCTTACTCGAACATCATCATTCAACGATGAATTTGCTAATAAACGACACAATTGTATAGTTTCATTGGCAATTATTTCCTTATGATTCGTAGATAAACGAACAAGTGATTTTGCTAAATATGATAATAATTCCGGATCTAGGAAATATCAGTATTTTGTTTTGAAAATTTCTTTGAAAAATATTCTTCACCTACTTTCAACATTAGCACATGTTGTAAAAAGTAGGTGTATACAATTTTGTGCACTTTCATTATAGACTCTGGATAATTGTTCAATTAAATTCAAAGTATTCTTGGTAGAACCAAAAACAAAAAAGGAATCGTATTGACAACAAAATATTAATAATCATCTTAAACAAACTTGTAATTCTTTTAGCTCGTTGGCTTGAATAACGTCAGTAAGAAGAACAGCTAAAGCTGTATTAAGATGTTCAATTAAATCATCGAGAACATGGTGAGATGAAAACAATTCATTATTTTGAGACTCTATAAAAAGGAAATAATTGAAAGATTATTATGATCTTATAAGATTGCTCAGAGGAGGGAAAGGTAAGGCTTCCGTGGTTTCGAGTACAGATGTCTCATTTCCGCTCTCGTCGTGCCAACTCTTCTATGAGTCACCTAGAGATTATTAATTAGAGCTACAATTTGCGAGTGTCAGGGATGTTTTTCTTAGTAGAATATTTTTCTTTCGAGACTTTCTGTCTATATGATTAATTGAGAAGAAAAAAAGATACAAACCCATTGAAGATATATTACGGTATTTAAGAATGATTCGAAGCGTTGTTGAACAACATTGATAAGCAACTGGAATATTATTATGTATAGTGAACATTTGAAGTAGCTTTTTCAAATCTATTACATATCGAAATGTATATTTCATAATTCGAAAATTTTCTTTTCTACCTGATGTAGATGTAGGAGTAATATAACTGCCACCAGTAATGAGTACTTCAATAATACGTAAAACTTGTAATCGTACATAATCATCATCACTATCATTTGCAAATGCAATAAGATCCTACGAAACAGGAGGAACAAATATAATCATAAAAAATTAACATTTATATTCGTACTTCTGTTGTAGAATCGAGCCAGACAATAGGACCACATCTAGCAATAGGAACAAGATGGCGGAGAATGAGTTTACGACAATTTCGACGTGGTTCAAGTTTAAGAAATTTAAGAAAAAATTTTACCTACAAAATAATCGCAATCGAACATAAACCGAAATGAAAAACAAGCTCAAAATAACTAACTGTTTCACCAATTTCAATGTGACTTTTAACAGCCAATCGAGCTAATGTTGGAACAGCTATTTGAAGAAATTCTTCTGTTGTATCTTTGGTTATCAATGAAATTAAAAGCTGACGACCCTATGATAATAAAAATTTGATAAAAAATAGTCTTCTATATTCATCTCTAAATATACTTTCATCGACACTGTTGCATCATGTGTCATATGTTCAAAGAGTGGAATAAGCCAAGATTTGATTGTTAATGGTGTAGTTAAATCTTCAATTAACGATACAAGTTTTGTACTTATGGACATGGCAAATGTTCTAAAGAAGAAAAACCAAAATATATACGGTTTTCCTTTTTTCGATTTACTTTGAACAGGGAATAAATTTTTTTGCAGCTTTAACCGCAGCCAAAATTTCAATTTCATCATTAGAATCTAATGCAAGACGAATATGTAAATGTGCTTCGACATCGTCCGCTAATATATGTGGCATCATAGCAAGAGCTCTAAATAGAATAATTTATGTATAAACAAAAGTCAATAGAAAATTTCTGTGTCAACCTTAGTGTTAACGCTCGTGCAATACAATCGTTACTATGCATAACAGAATAGATAAGTTTGATAGGATCATCAAGCATCGAAGATTTTTGTAATTGATTTGCTACGCGATCGAGAACTTTGGTAACATTCAAACGCATTTCATTGGTTCTAAACAAATTTCGACATAGGAAATTTTGCTCTCTGAAATTCTCATGATTAAAACAAAACAAAAAAGTACCCTTCTTGAAAAAGTGTTGCCAATTTTATGAGAGCTGCTGAGATAAGTGTTGTTGATGTTGTTTCTTTTTTGAATAGACCAGGCATTTTGAGTATAGCCTCAAATTGTCGTTGAGCTTCTTTAGAACGAATACCTGAACGAGGAAACATAGTAAAACGAAAACAATCCAATCGAAACATATCTATGATAACACTCAAACAAACCTCGATCAATCTCGACCCATAGACGATTAGGATCGTCATTATAGCTCGTTGTTTGATTATTCAAAAGCATATCCATTCTGGATATCTATATCAATCTATTGCAACAAACGATATAGAAATAGAATATTGCTTAGACATTGCTTATTTTGTTTTTAATGGACAGAACATTATAGAAATGAAGTTAATCAACGCCATTGAGAAAAAAACACAAACAGTAAAGATGCATATGTGAATGTAATTCGACGAATTCGCATCCAATGTGTATAGATGTATGAATGTTCAAAATAGAAAAAGAAAAAGAAAAGCCGAGCTAATAGGAAAACAAAAAAAAAAAGATAACAATATTTGGCTAAATAGGTAATTAACTCGTTCTTGGTGCAAGGAAAACAACGAGACTAAAATAACAACAATAAATTAGCGAACAAACATTTGTAGGATTAGACAGATATATATGACTAGAGAAAAGGAATTCAAGATATTGAGTACACATGACTTTATCATAGAAATATACTAAGCGACTTTTATTTCATTGCATATTGATTCTCAATGAGTATTTATTGATCATTGTTCATTCATGTGAATTCTATTTGATAATCAGTAATTGACGTAGATACTTGTGAATCATTTAGATTTCATCGGTTCAATAAGAATCTGTAATGAGAAAAAGTTTTAGTAAATAAATAAATAAATAACTTTCAATGGATATTATTTTAATTGAGTGTTTCCCAATCAATGATCTCTACTAGTAGAAATATTGAATGTTACATCTCTAGATTTTATGTTAAGGTGAAGTATGAAAGTAAGCATTTGAACCTCAGTTGCTCCAATATGAATAGACTAAAACACTTTTTTTTCTCTACTGATTAATGGTTGCTAGACCCTTCTTGCAATGGTCAGATGCTTAAGATTAACATGGACTCATGCATAGCCGAAATATATACGTATTAAAATTTCCTATTAGTGTTAAATACATTGCCTGAGTACTTTTTTTTGCTTATTTTAAATACATTCTTCCATAGCTGATGTCATGCTTTTCAAGTTAAGCGCATTATGCCAATGAACATTCTATAATACACTTAAAATTTAAATGTAAATTCAACAAAATCAATTTTACGGTCTTGCTCAGCAGGTTTGACCTACTTTCTATATAAGCCCACCTATTCAATAATCTTTTGAAAACGTACGAAAAGTACATCGCATCAATTTTATGACCTTCGGTGCGTCAAGAAGTTACTCAACTAGATTGAATCATAAAAATGATTAATCATAAATTACTTGAGATAACGTTGTGACACTTTTAGTCATATACCGTTATCTTGTGTCTGAAAGCGTCACCAAAGTGAATGCTTATTTTTCAAAATCAAAAATACACACCTCAATAGCTAACAACTCCACGCGTGTCAATCTCAAGCGTTCGATTTTCTAGACAAAATTCTATACATTACCTCGTTCAATATAACCCATGCTTCTGACTTTGAATGTACTTTCAAACGTACAGTTGATATGGGTCCAAGTGCTTTATTAACAAGCCCTTCTGCAATACCAGTATCATGTGAAAAATTTGCTACTGTATAAAATCCATCATGATCTTTAACATATTTTACGTCGTCATTAGGTTGTACATATGGTAATAAATCAATAGTTGTATTGAAAAATTTGTCACCTGGATGCTCCGGATTACCCGATTTAAAATAAACTCTATTAGAAAAAAACGAAGTCATTCATATAGTCTCTGTATTTTGCGATTTTTGTTTCTGATTACTTTGATAGTATGACCGGTGGGTCGTATTTAAATTCAATGGTATCATCGTTCTTCGGTTGTAATGCCCAAAAAAAGTTTTGTCCTTCATAGCAACTGATGATTGTATGTTTATCGTAATCTTTCAAAGTTGATAGAATTGATGATACTCGAGGATTTTCGTGAGCTTTAAATAATTTCACATTTTTACCAAAATCTCTATCTTTCAATTTTTGTATTTTCCCTTTCAATGAAGAATATATTCCAATATGTTGAAATAACGATGGGCGATAACGAAAACGATGTAAACCTTTTGTTCGTGTACATGCTTGTATATCAGCACCAAACTGACAATATTTTGTATCTTGATAACTAAAATATAGAATTGATTACCATGATTCATTGGATGTGTTTTGTTTTTGTTTAACTTACTATTCAAGTAGCCAATCAATTGGTTTATCGGCAGAAAACATAAGAAAAAAATTCACTAGTGCATCAAGATCATTGGTATGAAACATTTTACCAATAAATCCTAAGAAAATAAGATAGAAATTCTTCAAATTCTTGTTCATACAATCCAAAAAAATGAATATAATCAGTCTGACATCTGGACAAAATTACTTTCAATACTTAATCAAAGAGCAACAGTGTGCCCATCGTATTGTTATTTGTTATCATAACCTTTAATCTATCCATATAAATCGATTAACCACAGGGGGCGCATCAGTTAATCATTTCTATTGTTTTAATTCTACTGTTAATTCTTATCGGCTGACTATTTGCAGACAGAGCATACTCTCCTGTATCTTTGAGCAATATATTTAGTTGTAGCTTTCGATAGAATGTATCTGCATAGAGTTATTCACTAATCAAAATAGCCGGTGTATGTTACAGGTCTATCGGATGAATTATCTGAGACAAATAGCCACCAGTAAATTCCCTACGGTCATTCCATATCTGATGGTGATGATGTTTTAAATAACATTGGCATTCATCTATAGTGACTAACTTAGTGTTTTATTTAACTGTATTGATAGAATTCTAATTACCTAAGCTCGAATATTCCAACATAAACCAATTTTGTGTTTTTTGCCGATTAATAAAATTCTCAATAATATGTATATAATCAGGTTTTGTTATAACATCATCTTCTAATTGAATATAATATTTGCCTCTGCTCGATGAATACATCATTAAATAAGTAAAATCATAGTTTTGTTTCGTACGCCATTTCACACGTTCCTTGTCATCATTTAAACTTAAAGTTAATTTATCAAAATTAGGATAATAATCTAATGGTGGACTCATGATTTCAATTAAGCCACTTTCAATATATTTGTCATAGAGTTTTTCTACTTGATGAGCTGTTGTTCGTACATATTCAATATCAAATGGCTCAGCAATAAATACAACAATTAATAGTCGTTCAATATCTTCACTATTTATATTATCAATTAAAGATTTTATCGTTTCTATTAGATACGATTGTTTATCGCGTTTAACTGTTGGTATACCAATAACAAATGATACATTTCGACGTAAGAAATTTTCCCGTGTTGTTTGACGATGAAACGCTGGTGATAACATATCATGTTTATTGTTAAGATGTTTCAAATAACTGAAGCTTGGTGGCAGATGAAAGCCATTTTTTATTGAATCAGCGGCGTGATCGTTTAATGCTTCATCAAAATTTGTACTATTCAAATTCGTTAACAATAAATTATTTGTATCATTTGTTCCTAAACGACGGTGACAAGATTTCATTGAATTTAAAGAACGCATTAAACGAATATTTTGTTGTTTTATTGCTGATAGTTCTTGTAGATGTTCATCATTGAGACGTGAAACATAATCAATACGATTTTGTAATGATTCAATTGTTTGTTGTGTTTGTTCTGCCGCAGATCCTATATAATAAATAAAGGGAGAAGTTTTTTGTGTTGTTTCTATATTGCATCAAGACAACTTACGTTTTTGGCGTGAAACTAAAACAAATGCAATCATAACAATAATGGCTATCGCCATAACACCGTATCGCTGGGTCCATCTCATAAGTGCTACATAGCATAGAAACGAATCTGAAAAAAAAACAACAGATTATATATATTTCTTTCGTATATGTCGATAAAAAAGAGAGACATGAATCGTGCATGTAATTGAGTAAAGAAATAAATGCCAAACAAAAGTAAGCAAGTAGAATCAAACAGCTCTAATAAAAATAGAATGAGCGTACAACAAAAAAATGTTATTGACGATTTAATGTTGTTACTTGACGAAGAGTAATCATAGTACAATAAAATTTCATTACAACTTGACATGCAACATTCAAGAGACCTGAGGGAAATTCGGCACGTATCTTGTAAGTTGTGTTTTAGATTAGTTAGAAGAAAGCAATATTTTGCTTTAGATTTATATGCATACTCACGCTGTCTTGTTGTTAAACCTATTGAGCGCACCATTGCTACATATTCAGTCCTAATGAAATAATTAAGCGAAAGAAGACTTGATAAATCTACCGTAGAAAGGAAAAGAAAAAAAATATAGATATGACACCTAACCAATCGATATGACGACGAAATATTTCTCTTTATTCTTTTACTAATAATCTGTATTGCGACAAAATTAACTGCAATAGGAAAAGAATTATTTTACTCTTTGTCACTATTTCTCTTTTTTTTAGATATCAGATCTCAGATAGATGAACTGATTGTTGTTTTAAGTGTATGTATATTTGCATTGCGATGATAGAGGTTACCAGTAGAATGATAGGCTGTAGAGGGCGTACACAATCGAACGGAGTGGATTGACGCTTCGTTTTCTTAGAGAGAGAGAGAGAGAGATATTAAAAACATTCGTCGAATAAAGCTTTTTATCGGATTTGAAATTTTCTGTCATTTCTTGTGACATATAGACTTATGAAATTTTCAAAAAATTGAGACCGTTCTAGTTCAGTGTTCCGTTTATGAGTTGAATTTCAATATGGTCTTGAAATTATTGAAAATTATAATTTTTCATGTAAAAAATCTCTCTCATTTGTTTTTACTTATTAACATCGGAAGCAAGAGACAGATAAAGAAAGAACGACACAAAAAATGCTTCTATGCCGAATTTAATTCATTTTAAATTATAGATTCATCGCCGCATAGGTGGCGGAACGCTTCTACTTAAGGGGAGGCTCAAATTTATTTTTGAAAAAAACGACAGAAAATAGTCACTAGACGGAGAAAGCAAAGTTTTAAATTTCTTGGTTATAACTTTCATTCAAAACATTTTTTTCACTGACCCATTTGCACACCTTCAGAGTAATCAATAATTCTACTAATGTATCAAAATTTTTATTTCATTATCAACATAAGAATACAGAATATTGAACCTTGACTAAAGCAAATAAAAAAGTCTCAAGTACTAAAACTATTATTCATGCTCAAAAAAGGCTTTTCTACTCTGATTTTTTGTAATAAAATCAGAATAAATGCTGTTCAAGTCTAACTGATCTATTTTTTCTTTATGAATAAGAGGAATAAGGACATGATTAAAGCCTTGTTGTATCATTGTTGATCGTAGTCCCTTTCATCTTCATAAAGGAGGCGCTAGCATTAATAAGCGAAAATATTTCAAAAATATGCAACATACACATCCTGAGACTGAACATTACTTCGGAGAAAAAACACCATCGCTTTTCTAACCACTTTCACTTATCAAATATAGAACTACGAGGAAATCAGGATTTTTTTTTCATATAACTGAGCCCCGCCAAGCCTAAGGGCTCCGCCGTCAATGCATCACGGTTGTTCTGCTCGCCTAGTATAAAAAAAGGATTATAATGAGAATTAATAGATAAAAATAGAAAGAAAAGGATTATGTAAATATGATATTAAAAGTAACGTGCATAATTCTTATTCTCGTGTTTTTATCGGACTGAACGCAGTAATAATTGACATTATAAATTCTATATTATCCGATGCAGATGGTGATATTTACTTAACACCTACTATAGGTCTTACTTCTGCACTAAGTAAGTATTTGTCTAGTTGTGTTAGTCATTACGCTGTATATTCTTCACCATTTTACACTGATAAGAACAAGAAAAACAATAGAATACTTTGTATTTTTGAAAAATTATTAGCTCAAATTTTGATTTCCTATACAGAAGATGATTGATTGATCCTATCGACTCCTAAAATAGTAATCGATTTCGATAGGCAACTATCTAGTATTAATTGAGTCTTAAATGAAAGATTATATAAAAACAAAATACGTATTTTTCGTATTTCGATTTACCTCAAGAATAAATTTTATTGATTACTGCAGCAGATGCAAAGGGCAAATATTTATTGAAAGAAGCTAAATTATGTTTGATAGGCGTTCTCTCTTCATTACTAGTGCAAGGCTTCAGGCAAAACTAATTTGAATAGGTAGGCAAATTAAGTGTGTATACGGCTGTTTGTGATAGTGACAATGTTGGTCCTAGGCAAATTACAATTCAGTTTTCTCCATTTTTTTATTCGAATGACTGAGAGCGCGCTCGTACAACATGGCAATTGATTATTCATCATTTTGAATAGGAACGGCCGAGGACTTCTCTACCGAATTTTTTTCGAATATTTCTTCGCCCATGTTGAAAATGATAATGGTAAATAAGAAAAATTTTAATTTTAATCGGATGTTTTCACTGCTTTACGTGATATTGATATCGGATACTTTGAGTGTGCCAATCAAGAAAAATAAATATTCTTACACGATTTAAGAAAATGCTTTTGTTACCTCATTCATGCAATTTTGTAATAGTATGACATTTTTATTCGTAGCAGTTGAAAATAGATTTAACACAGAAATATATGTCAAATATGACAATACATTCGTACTAATTAAAGCCATTTCATTTTAGGAATGATGGCCTTTTTCTTGTAGAGTATGGCGAGTTCAGATTGAATACCTTTTGCATTTCTCATAATTTCTTTAGTGGAAAAAAATACATTGCCAAGTGCTAGACGATCTTGCATTGATCGAGTTATATTTATTTGACGAACTATTTCATGTGCATCCCATTGTACAGTACCTTGAGTCATTTTATATGCAGCATTACCAGCATAAACATGACGACCTTTTGCTGATTGCTGTAACCACCAGTTGAGTAAAACAGGATAGGATTGCGCTGGTGGATCGATAGCCCAATAAAGTTGTGGGGTCATATAGTCAAGTAAACCCTCTTCTAACCACATTCGACTATCACAATATAACTCATCATAGGATGATAGACCAGATATGCCAGCTGGTATACCACTTTTCCATATTCCAAATGGTGAAATACCAAATTTAACTTTCGGTCGAACAGCATGTATTCGTGTATACATTGATTGAATGAGAGTATTGACATTAGAACGACGCCAGTCACTTTTATTTAAATGACCGCCTTGTGCCTGATAGGCAGCGTAGGTAGCAGCATCAGGAAATTCAGTTCCGTCACTATATGGATAGAAATAATCATCGATATGAATTCCATCAACAGCATATCGAGTAACAATATCTTCCGTAACGTTAACTGTAAATTGTTGAACTTCAGTTGCACCAGGATCCATCCAGATGTATTGTCCATATGTATAAGCATATTGAGGAAATCTTTTAGCCATATTTGTTGATGCTAATGCATAGGTTGCACCTGCTGTACGAGCACGATATGGATTGAGCCATGCGTGTACTTCAATGTTTCGTTTATGTGCTTCGTTGACGATGAATGCTAACGGATCCCAAAATGGAGACGGTGCAACACCATGTTTGCCTGTTAAATAATAACTCCACGGTTCTAACGCTGAGAAATACAATGCATCACTAGCAGGACGAACCTAAATTTATATCATATCATCATGATAAATAGGAAACATAATTATCAATTAGTATTACTTGAAAAACTACAGCATTCATATTTAGTTCTTGAACTTTATTTAGAATATCAAGTAATTCAGATTGCTGTTGAGCAGGTGAAGCTGTTCCAGATGATGGCCAGTCAATGTTAGTGACGGTAGCAATCCATATAGCTCGAAATTCTTCTTTCATTGGTTCAACTGAAAAACAACATTGAATATTCGATGGTTTCGATTCACATAAACCAGATAGATATAATGCATTGGGACATTCACTTTGATTAATACATTGACCAATACCATATTGTGGATGATTGTAAGTATTGCATGTATCTGCTTGAATGTGGTAAGATAATAGACTTAATAACCAACAAAAAATGATCGCTTTCAATAACGAAATCATTTTTGTTTCGAATAAAAATAGCGTAGCTTTCTTTTTCGGTTACCTATATATTTTCACAAGTAATGCACACCTCTTTTTCAATTATCACGGAGAAAGAAAAAACGACATTTGGCTTTTTTATTTTGTCGCGATAAATCTCTTCCTAATCCTTTGCTGTGTGAATCATGAATAGATGCTAAATAATATATGCCATCAAATAGTTAAAAAGTATATATTATATTTATTAAAAAATAAAATATTATTAAAGAAACATGTTAATGTTCCTTATTCGATGTGATAAATTTCCAAATTTTACGTAGTTAGTGTCTAAATGAATTCCATATATTAAATATGTGAAAATCTTATAATCATACTTTTATCTTCCGAGATGTCCTAGCAAAATATTGTGCTTCTTCAGCAACCATTTCTTTATAGTCAAGATCTAATGACTTGAGTGTCTATATGAGAAAATTAAATTAAAATAAAATGAACCAAATGATTTTATATACTTTATTATTTTGTAAAGCATTCGCAAAATCGAAAGCTCCTTGAAATTGAATTCTATTGTGATCAAGAGTAAGCGTCGTAAGCGTCTATTTTATAAAATAAATATCAATACAAAACAGTTTTATAAATAGGTATTTTTACATTATTTATTTTTAATGCCTGAGCCAAACATTCTATTCCTGCATCACCGATGTTGTTTTCTCCCAGATGTAATGTTACAAGTGTCTATCATGAAAATTTATATCGGAGAAACAAGAACTGAAATAGAATACCGAGTTATTTTCTAACAAATTTGCTACATATTACGTCCCTTGATCACCAATTACATTTCTTGCTAGATTAAGTGTTATGATACTCTATAAGAAATGTGAACGATTATTTCTACATGAGCACATAGGTAATTTATCTTGTTTGATTGTTTCTTAGTGTATTAGTTAAATATTGCACACCATCAGATGCAATACAATTGGCTTCAAGGTTCAATGTACTTAGAGTCTATCGCGAATAATAAGAATAGTACACATACACGAAGAAGAAATTTTGACTCACTGTGTTAGTTTTTAAAGCATCAGCTAGATATTTGGCTCCTTCGCTCAGATGTTGATTTCTCTCAAGATTTAAACTTGTAAGTGTCTATAGTAATTGATCAGTATAAAGATATAAAACATAGATAGAAAATTATGTTTTACGGTATTGTTTCCTATTGCAATAGCTAAATCACTTATTCCTTCAATGCCAATGCGATTTGAACCAAGATGTAATACGGTGAGTTTTACTTTATTGATTCGTAGTATTTTAGCCAAGTAGCGTGCTCCTGTCGAACCAATATAATTATTGTATAGATTTAATATTGATAGTGCCTGTGTTGAACAATTTAATAAAATATGATATAAGTAAGAAGTATAACAATTGTCTTACTGTATCCTCTTGTAGTGAGTCAGTTAAATATTTTATTCCATTGAAACCAATCGTATTATTGCCAAGATCCAGAGTTGTAAGCGTCTATAAATAGACATATAAGAATAGATGCAATACACATGAGTAAGAAAATGATTTTACAGTATTATTTTTAAATATTTTAGCCAAGTATTGTATTCCTTCATCTCTGATACTGTTATTTTCAAGATCTAATATTGTCAATGTCTATAAGAAGAAAGATAAATACAACCGTTGAGATTAGCAAAAGGTAAATTTGTCTACCGAATTATTTTCTAATGCATCAGCAAGATATTTTGTTCCAAGATTATTGATTTCATTGTCTACTATATGCAGTTCTTGGACTGTCTGTGTTACATATTAATAATAATGAAAAGATAACAGTAAATAAAGATATAATTGTACTCTATTGGTTTTTAATCCATCAGCTAAATGTTTTGTCTCTTGAGCACCAAGTTTGTTATTACACAGATACAACATAGTGATTGTCTATAACGAATCCTTGATATAAATATTACTTCACTAGAAGTAGACTTTCTCTTACGGTATTATTTTGTAATACATTGGCTAGGTAAGTTGAACTTTGAATATTGATTTTATTATTATATAAAGAGAGTGTTGTGAGTGTCTAAAGCGAATAAATCCAATAAGACAAGACATAGATGAATCACAAAACTAAAAATATTTACAGTATTATGTTCTAATGCATTTGCGAGATAGTGTATACCTCGATTGGACATTTCATTGGTATGAAGATGCAATGTCATCAATGTCTACATACAGTCATTTCGAACAACATGAATCAAATGATTTTTCTTACAGTATTCACTAGTAATATATTTCCTATACTTTGCGCCTCATGGTCACCTATGGCATTTGATCGAAAATCTAGCGTAGTAAGTGTCTATGACAGATGATAAAAATGAAATTGTTAAACAGAGTCTGTATCTTACTCGATTTATTTTTATTGCATCAGTGAGATATTGTATACCCACTCCATAAAATCGGTTCCATGCAAGAATTAATGTTTTCACTAACTGTTTTAAATATTAGTAGATGACTGAAAGAAATTCATCTTACTGTATTATCTTTTAATGACTGAGCCAAAAATTGCATCTTTTCTTCATCTAAATTTCTATCTTCAATAGCCAATTCTGTAAATGACTAAACAAAACTTTCTTTTTTTTTTTTATAACGGTAACAGTTGAGGTATATGATGATGAAAACAAAAGTTAACCTGATATTCATAGTAGGTGTCGGTAATTGTTTTGAGTTGTGTGCAAACATCTCGAACGTAAAATATGATTGTAAACTCGTCGAGTTCGTCAAGAATATGAAAGATAACTTCGATGGGTAATGCGAGCAAACATAAATCCTTCTTATCGGACATCGACGATACTGTTCTATTTAACTATATATGAAGCTAAAATGTTTTGATTCCTTTGTCTTCTGACTATAAATACTATTAACCTCTATTATTCTGAATTTCTAGTGATTGAGTAATGACTACCTCGTCATAATACAAACGACAATTCTAGGTAGAAAAAAAATTCTGTTCGAAGTACATATAGTTTTTTATTTATCAAATGCTGTTAAAGCCAATCCATTTTAGGAACAATAGCTTTTTCTTGATATAGTATAGCCAATGCATTTTGAATGCCTTTAACATTATTCATAATTTCACTCAATGAAAAAAAGACATTGCCAAGTGCTAGATGATCTCGCATTGACCGAGTTATACTGATTTGACGAATCATTTCATTCAATGGCCAATCAGAAACACTAGGTGATACTCGATAGAGAGCATTACCAGGATACACATGACGACCTTTCGCTGATTGTTCTACCCACCAGTTGAGTAAAACAGGATAGGATTGTGCTGGTGGGTCAATTTGCCAATAAAGTTGTGGCGTCATATAGTCAATTAAACCCTCTTCTAACCACATTCGACTATCACAATATAACTCATCATAGGATGATAGACCAGATATGCCAGCTGGTACACCACTTTTCCATATTCCGAATGGTGAAATACCAAATTTAACCTTCGGTCGAACAGCATGCATTCGTATATACATCGATTGAATGAGAGTATTGACATTAGAACGACGCCAGTCACTTTTATTTAAATGGCCGCCCTGTTCTTGATAGGCAGCATAGGTAGCCGCATCGGGAAATTCAGTGCCATCACTATATGGATAGAAATAATCGTCCATATGAATACCATCAACAGCATATCGAGTAACAATATCTTCCGTAACGTTGACAATAAATTCTTGTACTACAGCCGCACCAGGATCCATCCATATATTTTTTGCGTATGGATAAGCATATTCCGGAAATCTTTTAGCCATATTACTCGGTGCCAATTCATAGGTGGCACCTGTTGTACGAGCACGATATGGATTGAGCCATGCATGTACTTCAATATTTCGTTTATGTGCTTCATCGATGATGAATGCTAATGGATCCCAAAATGGTGATGGAGCAACACCTTGTGCAGCCGTGAGATAATAACTCCATGGTTCTAACGTTGATGAATAGAAAGCATCACCAGAAGTGCGAACCTATTTTTATCATAGAAAATCTTATTCATTAGAAAGGAAAAATATGTTTTTTGGTAATTATCACTTGAAAAACGACTGCATTCATATTGAGAAGTTGAACTGTATGTAGAATATGAATCAACTCAGTTTGCTGTTCAATAGTTGAAGCTATGTTAGATGATGGCCAATCAATATTTTCGACAGTAGCAATCCAAACAGCACGAAACTCTTCGTTGGCAGTGCTATTTCTCGGAAAGCAACATTCAATATTCGGTGGATGCGACTCACATAGACCCGATACAAACAGTGAATTAGGGCATTGAATCTGATCAACACAGTGTCCTTTACCATATTGTGAATGAATGTAAGTGTCGCATGTATCTGTTTTAACTTGAGAGAATAAAAGATTCAATGAAAAATAAGCGACAATCGCTGCTAATTTCAAAACCATTTTCCCCGCCACAACAATATGTGAAAGAAAAACATACGGATACTTTCATTTTTATATATCAGTCACCTCGCATCTGCCGGTGTTCTCAACAGAGCAAACGAGGTTCCCGCTTGCATGAATTCGTGTAAAAACAAATGAAAGAAATCTATATATGTGTCTTGTAAAATTCGATCATTAACATACATGTTAAAGAACAACAATTGCGCAAAGAAATAAAATAAAACAACCGATTAAACGGATAGGATGAAAAAGAAAACGATAAAAATGAGAGATAATAAATAATAACCATATAATATGATTGTTTATTTAACAATCTGTTCTCGAATATAACGTAAAAATTCAACATAAGACATCGTCGATTCAGATTTATCGTCAATTAAATGACGAGTAAATAACTGCCGATTGGATGAATCCTCTCTAGAAGCGACAAAAATTCAAATCAAATTCTATTCACTAAAATATTTTGACTATACCTCATAATATGTATTGCAACACCATGCGGTCGACTTTGTATAAGATACGATAGAAAATTATGGATTTTCATTGATAGCGGATTTTCTAATTCAGGTAGGGAATACTAAACGAACAAAATATAGGATACATAAAATGACAATTAATTTAATATTTACTGAATCAAGCGGCAAAGCAGAAAATGTTTCGACATTAAAAACATTTTGAACAAAATGATCACTTATAGCTTTACCAATATAAACATAGATATGTTCACTTGAATCCAATATATAAGCACCATGTGAATCTATGTTTTGATATGATAAATGAACACGTTGAGGAATATGTAATTCATCTTCTCCGTCTTGAATAATTTGGCTCTTCAAAAACAGATAGAAAAAAAATTATTCTGATAATTCTAATCTAAAATCGATTTCAGTATTACAATATTACCTTATCTTCGATTGTATGTATTGGATAAAGATCAGGATATAATATTTGTATTAAATACTGTGTAGGTAATGTTTTACATAAATCTAAATAATATGCTCTATCATCGACTTTTGGTGCACCACCCGCTCGAAATGCCGTCTAAATTATTACAATAATAAATAGTCAACAGAAACTCTTTGTCATTTTTGAACCTTACCGATTTAATCATGCTTAACATATATAATGGTATCAACCGTAAAGAATAGGGTACCAATAATGAAAATGCTCGATTCGATAGATTATTTGATAAACATGCTTTAAGAATATCACATGCAACATTCGACATTGCATCACGAGCTTCTTGTATCGACGATGTCATTGATCGATCGGCAGCTAAAAAAGGAATGATGTTTTTTTTCTCTCTAATAACAAAGAAATAAATTTCTACCCATTTTAGCAATGATTGAAATAATCGCTTCTTGATCAGCATTTGAACATATTTCAGTAAGATTCGAACTTACTGGTAACGAAAGTGTATGCACTCGAATACGTCGTTCACCTAAACAACAAGAAAAATAATATTAATATTATTTATTTCATATCAAGTTTTTTACTTTTGCTTGATGTATAGAGTAACGCTGCTTGAAATGTTACAGACGTGTAATGAGCTAAAGAATCTTCGATTGTTACTTGCATGCCAAATGCTGCATCAGGATTTACATTCGGTAGAACAAGTAAATCAACGGAACGAACAAAACCATTGCCATGAAATGTCTGAATTGCCATTGCTAAAAATATAATATGTTGAATTGCATGATCTTATTCATTAATTACCTGGTGGTGACCGTAAACGCATGACAGCTTCAAACCCAATTTTTCTTTGTAAATATCTCCTAAAATCATTTTCAAAACGTTCCACTTCATGTGGTTTCTGGACCGAATGAAAGCCTGGATAGTATTTGACTTCACCACCTGAATACTTTGCAATACAACCTAAAAAAAAAGTGGTCTCATTCAATCAACTATTCATTTGTCGAAACGAAAAGAACTTACTCAATGTTGCTAAATCAATATGATGACTATTTAAAAGAAACAAATCGCAGGCTATTTGTACTGATGCATAGTCAAGTGAAAGTTTCTTATAATAGTCAGATGTTGGTCCGATAATTGTCGGTTCCTTCGTTGCATGCCCTCCCGTGCTAATAAGTTCATGCAAAGCACCTGGATTTACATTTGGTATTCTTGTTTGAACAACTGTTATACGACCACCCGTTTGATCAAGCAGCTTTCCTGCTATTTGTAAAGCTGCACCTAATGCTGAATCTGTTTCATTGTTATCTTGATAAATTTTCGGCAATTCATTAAGAAATGTTTCAACAATCAAGCGACATTCACATAATGTTACCATTAAACCATCAGGCATAGGAAGGAAATCTTCTGGTTTACTATCAAGATCAGGAGCAATTATGACACGAAATAATCCATTTTGTCGATCCGATAAGTCATAATAATGTATTCGACTATCATACGTTATGAAACCTATTTTTGTACGAGCATCACCTGGTAAACCATTTAAACATTCTGATAATATATCACAAAATGATTGGAGATAACCTGTAGAATACAAATATCATTATAATTATTTCGTCGGACTACTTGAAAAGTTTCATTCACCTGTTTGAATAGCATTATGAGATACATCAAGTAAAAATAAATACATAGCTGGTTGAGGTGGTCTTGCCATGTAATCAGCAGTTGCAGTGTATTCAACAGTTCCAAATCGAACTTCAGGTCGACGACTTGGATCGCCATAAGTTTTTGTTACAGGATCAAATAGAAATTCTTGTGGTACTGAAAAAAAATCAAATATCTATGTGTCTCTCTTAGTAATCGATCACTTACAATCATTGACACGATAACAAATACTACAACGCCATCGTGTATTATCAAGAAATGTGATAAATGGATTGATATAACTTTTACAGGAATCACATCGAACTATTTTTGTTCCTTGAATAACATTTAAACTCTATAAAATAATAAAGATTATTTTATTTTTCATTGTCAATATTCGGTTACTTCAAGATCTTTGAATGGATGAATAAGAATACCGAGCGGAAGGCGACTCTTATTCAATAATTCTTTTGTTTGTGGAATAACATTTAAACTACATCGCATGACTCTTGAAAAAGTAGAAAAAAAATTTATGAAATACAAAATTTTGTCTAAGAACATACTCTGGGCTACAGTTCATTTGTTGATTTTCTTCACTTAAGAATGGTGACATTGGTGGTTCTTCAGCAAATGGATTGATTACACTTTTTTCTTTCAATAAATCGACCATATCATTATTCTGTAATAGAAAGTAAAAATTCAATATAAAAGTAACTACTTCTCTAGTAGCAACTAAGAGTATAGTTTATTTTCAGTCTTGCTTACAGAGAGAGGAGCATTGAGATTATTATTAGTTTGTTGATTAGTTGTACCAACTGCGTTTCCACCTATTCCATAAGGCATTGATTGTCCTGGATGTCCAGCAGCGGCAGAATTCGAATTAAAATTATACTGTGGATTGGGATACGAAGCTGATGGCGCTTGACTTTGTTGTTGTGATACTTGAGGATAAGGAAGATATGAGGATGTAGGATACATTGGACGAATTGCTGGATGATTCTATAAAAGGTTACATATTAGAAAATTTGAACTACAAAAGTAAATATTACCGAAACTGGACTATAGATGTTGGGTAGAGTTGGTAAAGACGAAATTTGACTCGTATTATAAGTGTTTAATGGGGGTGCAGAAGAGTTCACATTTGTGTTACCAACATATGCTAATGGAGTTGAGTTCATAGTTGTACTGTATACGTTTGATAATGGTGGAGTAGAAGTTGCGTTTGAACTGAAGAGATGAGGTGGTTGTAGTGTTGGATTATAGGGAGTAGGTAGTGATACAGCTGGATTGATTTTTGTATTTAGAACATTAGCTAGTGCTGGTGTTTGCGTAGGATTGATGTTTGAAGTATGCATCATTGGCGGAAAGATTGAAGCATTTACTTGAGAAGAATTTGAAGGAGTAACATTTGGTGGAAAGGTTGGAGGCCTAATTCCATTTCCAATTGAGTGAGACATTGGAGGAAAAACCTGAAGAAGAAAGACTTAAAATTTGTGATACTTTTAAATAAACCGATAACATACGGGATTGACCATTTTGTCGGGGAACGATGAACTATTCGAAGGTCGTATTGTTGTCATTTAAGGGATTTAGAAAAATTTCAGATCTAACAAAAAAATTGATTGAGTAGTGCCACGTTTGTGCTCATCTTTTGGTCCATTGTTGACGTTGTTAACAATCCAGTGATATTGATTCGTCGTTTCGTTCCACCAATCATAAAACAAAATCTACAGAGCCATCTATACGTGAGTGAGTGATATTAAAATCGAAGTAGGTTAGAGTTTGAGCTGGTCACAATATGGATACATATCTAAAACATGCATACCTATAATTGAGAAATCGTCAACAATTAAAATTAATAAATCCAATGCTATTGATCCTTCAACAGAGAAAATTTTCAGGCCCCGCAATGATCGGCGAGTAGATTCAGAGCATTCATTGAGTATTGAGAAAGGATGGGTGTGAATGGCCATTAACCACGCTTTCAAGGCTGAAAATGATCGCTTAAGATCGAAAATTCCCATTTTATGCTAAAATAAAACATTTTGCATTAGACAACTTCTACGTATGTCCATTTATCAGAAATTTGTAATTGAAGATTACCTGTATGAAGTCGATGAATATTTGCCGTCACCTAAAATTCTTATATGTAACAGATGCAAAACATCAGGACACGTAAGGAAAAATTTACAAATCAGCAATAGAAATATGTGAACGATGGGGAAGTGAAAATGATTAAAATAATAACGCCATCATTGTCGTGATGATCACGAAGCGACATCCATTTTCGTCCTCTATATTTATAATTTTATGTACCACAACAGTTTCGTGATCAAAAAGGTAATCAAATAATGTTGAACAGCAATGATGCAAAATGTCAAAGGTGAGGTCGACGGGATATTTTAATGAACATTAATACCCAGGATATAGATATTTGGCTCAGATTAAATTCAAGTACACCATCAATATCAAAATGAAATTCCGACTTAAGACAATTGCAGAAAAAGATTCACAGCCTGCAGCAAGAATATGAGAATCAAATTAAGAAATTAAAATTATGACAGTGAAAATCAAGTCAAATTCATGGTTCAAAGCTGACATTTGAACAAATTCCAACCAACAATACGAGTCTCTAGACTGCTCTCGGACACATTGCACTTGGAGGGGCTGTAGAATAGATAAATGAGTTTTTCGAATTGCTTTATTTATTAGTGGTCGAGAGAATTCCTAGTTTATTTTTCATTTAATAAATAAAATTAACAAAAATTTTGTACTTCGATCAGAGTTTTACTGTGTTTATTAAGCTGTTGAATAACGGTTACAATCGTATATGTCCCCAAGTAAACAAAAGGTTAAGGATGACTGACGACAGGACTGGTTCAAAATGTCTTTGAACCCAGTCAGGTCTAGTACGCTTTGTCCATTTCCTCAGTCTATACTAGTCGCAGAACTAACAACTCAATCTAAAAGATGGGTTTGAACGTGTAACCCAGTAGTATCCGAAAAGTAACGAGCATCTTGACAGCAGAATAAGACACTGTTATACACGGACGTCAATTTACTCAGTCCAAAATCATAGACAAACTCCCATTCATGTACTAGATAATCAGAAATACGTCAAGTTCAAGCGACTTTGACTATGGCTAGGGATGCAACAATACGATTTGGAGACACATAAAGATTGCCAATTTTCACAATGAAAATCTACCAATACCAACCAATAATTTGCGTTAATTATAGCCAGCGAAGTTAGCTCTATCTGATAGAAGTATATAAAGTGCCAATACCAACAGAAAAAAAATCCCCAGTATTGGTGAGTATTCGTTAAAATTACTCCTATCAGATAGCGCTAACTTCGCTTGTTATAATTAACGCAAAGTATTGGTTGGTATTGGTAGATTTTCATTTCATTGTGCAAATTGGTAATCTTTATGTGTCTCCAAATGGTATTGTTGCATCCCTCCATGTAGCCCTGAACCTGACAATCACATGCCTAAATACACATTGTCCACCAATAATAAGCTTTCTCCACTCATCTCTGCCTAAGTCAGATCAGTCACATCCACTCTTCCTTTGAACAAATGCTAAACGTCCATTCTTTCTTTTATTCCTCAACCACTTCTACTAGACGCATCACTCAACAGTCGCATGTACCACATAAAACGTGTTCAATAATAGATTTTACAAACACCGACAGACACAAAAACCAGATTCTTTTTAATCAACACTATAAATGAAACAAGTCCAAAAGATAAATTTAACAACAAAAATATTCTGCCCTCATCTATCTCATTTAACTATCCGCATGTTTATCAGAGACACTCACCACACTTCATCTCTACAACACTCGTATCGGAGAGAAAGGAACACAACATCTGAATGATAGATTATAAACTCGTTTGATGTATAGCGCATTGTGGAAGGGACACGTGGAATGTGTATTGTCGAATATAAGAAAGTAGTGAATGAGGAAAAATCATTGGCCTACGTTTGCACTGTTCTTGAGGACTTATTTAGCGAGAAGGGGGAAGTGGTTGCGCGGCAATCGAAAACTGTTTCTGTTTAATACTATTGGGCTGGCTAGTAGAGTTTATGACTGACTTTGGTGATCTGAATGAGAGGTATGTTTGGAATTATACTTTTAGCTATTGTGTACGATCACGACGATTGCTAGATGTCAGTGAATTGATCTAACTCATAGTAGGAATAAGCCATAGAATCTTCTAAAATGAATAAGGTACGGTGAATTGATAGATTGTTAACATTTAATTACTGTGTGTGTCGGTAAATGGCGTGCAGGAAGTGTGGAAAAGGCATGAAATACATTTTTAGGTTTTTTTATTACGTTGATCAGTTTAATTGATGCTAGTTGTATCATGGATATTTAAAAGAATTATTCATTGATGTGAGAATTGTAGGTGTGTTGAGCGATTGGAAAGAGATATACAGTGTATGATATACAAAGCAGTAATATATATATATATATTTGGTAAGGGAAATGAGAATACTTATACTAATTTACTTGGATGTTAGTTCAACAAAGGTAGTAGAAGCTTATTAGCCGATGTGGTCCTGGCGAAAATTGAAACAAACATGATGAAAAAGAAAATGCGGCTGATTCTATAGAACCGAATGCACATTCACAAGATTAATTCCATTAAGTCATTTAAAGTAAAATTCAGAGAATAATGTTGATGCCAGTTGCAACTAAAATAAGAGCATCATTCATAGGCTAAATTCCATACTGAGAGTGAATTAACAAAAAAACTGAATTGTAACACAAGTGTTCCTTTTTGTCAGTTGAGCATTTTTTAATTCACTAATGAATAGTGTTTACAGAAAAACATTTTTGCAGTAAATTTCATAGTTTTTAGAAAATGAATTCATTTTGGTGTTCGGCTTTTTGAAATCTTTACCGATCTCAATATTGAAAAAACAATTCTATCGAATGATTTCAATTGATTATAAGAGTTTCCAATTATTATCCTGTCAAAAATAAACAACTGAAGCGCTTCAATCACCGTTGAATTGCTTGTTTTCCTCAGGTAGACAATGTGATAATTTTCAAGAAACATGAAAACATTCAAAACTATCATGCAACAAAAATGACATAAGCATATTTATTCATAATTAATGTTATTATATAGTGAACACATTTATCAGACAGAGTTTGCGAACAGTCCGCCACAGTGAGTATTAAACATACGCAACAACAACTTAATATTCAGGAGGAAACAACTGCGACATATATTGAAGAATTTGAATTAATGCTAACATTGATTATTCATTAACACAAACATACCATATTGATGAACGCGTTCCGACAACCAATGACTCAAACCCGTCTTTCCCAGACTAGTTTAACAAGGGCATACAACAACGCCTGGAATTCGTCAACGATAAAAATGAAGTCCATATCTCCTTTTCACCGAGCTGATGCAATCAAGCAAGACCAGTGATAATATGAATACATATAGCTTATATTAGTAAGTTCCGTCTATTATAAACTCACTCTATATAACTTCTATGCTATATTCTATGGTAAAATAAATCACTTAATTCTATTTCCCTCTATATCAAAAACAAGAACGTAGTCCACTAAACGCTATAAAATTCCTTTCGTTGTACAACCGTCCATAGCTGACCTCATCATCAAAATATTTCTGCTTTTCGCTTCGCTCGATCAGTTCAACCACATAATCCAGTACTTCGTCTCCGAATTGATTGCCTCCGAGATGAAGTGCGGTGAATGTCTATAAAAGAAAGTGTAGATGGCTAAATGAGATAGATGAGTAGAGAATGAGGGTCACCGTGTTGTGTTGTAATGCATAAGCGAGATGTTGTGATCCTTTCTCACCGGTTTGATTATATCGGAGATCAAGTGTGGTGAGTGTCTGTGAAAGAAAGTGGAGATGATTAAATGAGATAGATGAGTAGAGAATGAGGGTCACCGTGTTGTGTTGTAATGCATAAGCGAGATGTTGTGATCCTTTCTCACCTATTTGATTATATCGGAGATCAAGTGTGGTGAATGTCTATAAAAGAAAGTGGAGATGATTAAATGAGATAGATGAGTAGAGAATGAGGGTCACCGTGTTGTGTTGTAATGCATAAGCGAGATGTTGTGATCCTTTCTTACCGGTTTGATTATATCGGAGATCAAGTGTGGTGAGTGTCTGTGATAAAAAGTCCAGATGATTAAATGAAATAGATGAGTAGAGAATGAGGACAAATAAATTTGATTCTTAATGTTCTTAAGTCTGGTTAAGTAAATAGAAACACATTTTTCCGGCTTTGAGCGAATCCATTGCTACCGATAATTGTACCCTCTGTAAGGCAGTAATATGAATGGTCATTAAATATAACGAAGGTTATGAATAAGTAAGAAGGAATAAAATGCTTTGGGTTGAGAGAGATTAAAGTGACACTACATGCAAGCGTGGAGTGGGCGGGTATGAACCGATTTTAGCCCTTAAAGTATCATTAGGGTGAAATGTTTTGCGTATTATCATATATATTGATGATATATTTGGTTATGTTTTTATAGGGTGTAAGGAAGTAGTTTTGTCTAGTGTTTGTG